TAAGCTCAAATCAAATATTTATACAAAAGATGAGAGAGAATTGTTTGTTGTTTTTAAAAATTAAAGTTATAAAATTTAATGGACTGATTTCATATAATTAGAAGTGAGAGTAAAAATTTCCTTTAACATTTTAGTAAAAATTGACCTATGGTATCATGAGTCTAAATACATAATTAAACTGAAATCATACTTAATTAAAATCATATTATATATTTAGATATATTATAATATAGTATCATTATAATTATTTATAATTTAATATTAATTGATTTAAATTTGAATTAATTGATTGTGATAGCCGACGGTATGAAATAAATGCAAAAAATACCACCACCTTAGATATATTCCAAATATGCCTCAAGCCAACCCACAAATCACAGCAAGTGCACTACTATTGCTCTTTCAGGCATAAAACATATCCGTGTAAAATCATAAATCACAGGTGGCCTATCTAAATTCCCATTATTCGCCTTCACATTACTTACAAAAATAACCTGTTGTTGAAAGAATGGACTTTAGCATCAGCACATTAAACCGGCCGAGTAATCAACCTTGGCCACGTTCAGTAAGTTAATTGGATTTAAGGAATATTTACCTTTGTATGTTGGCTAAAGGCAAAAGGCAAAATTTGTTCTTGATTGCTTCGAGTTCAAATCCTAAGAAAAACGTGTTCGTTTGTGAATTTTTCAGGTGCGTCAGAGCGTGTTCTTCTTCTCTTTCCGACACGTCGTTTGCAGTCTCTTTTATTTTATATTTTTTCAAGGACCATCAGGTTGCCACTTGCAACTGTGTCTGTGTCTGCCAACAAAAACGGAGATTTTGATCATGGACCAAAAGAGGCACAAGAAGCCCATTGTCATTAAGATTGTTATTATATCGGAAATTGGACTTAACACAAGCCCAAAGCGGCATTTGGTTGATACTACAATTTCAAGAAGCAAAAAAAAAAAAAAAAAAAGGTTTTGGAGTCCGGTTGGGACAATTTCATTCAATTTGAGGTGCAACAAGGATTGCCAATTTGATAAATGTCAACCTCTAGTTTGTGGAAAACGTGTATTTGGAATGGTGCGGAAAGAGATGGAAATGAGAAAAAAATAGAGCTTAAAATCAAGTCAACACATCAAAGGTAGGCGTGCAGGAAACGATGGGTGCAAGATTTGGACGCGTTTGTAAGAAACTGATACAGCGTTCTCTTCCCTTCATTAATGATTTACTATGTAAAATCATGACAAACACGATATTAGCGTAAGAATTAAATCATCCGTGCTTAGATCACAATGGTGGTGATCCAAGGAATGATACTAAATGCTATAAAAGCTTAAGACGATATATATTTTCATATTCCAATGGCTTTCACGCATACTATATAGATTTTCCCATTTACATTTAAAAATACTAATAATACGTATTGGAATAGCGTTTAATTTATCAAAGAACGATGCTAAATACATATAAGAATCATACACACATATATACATAATATCTATATATACACACAGTTATGTTTATTGGATTTTATACCTAATGCATCTATACCTTCATCTTATCAGTTTTTTCATTGTCATAGGACGACGACTCAGACACTCGAGTCTTACTAGTTGTTTACTCGCTACCATATTTTTCAACTTTTCGGAATTCATACGTTAACGAACTTGACCTGTTCAGTACGTATTTACTCTTCTTCGCTTTTTCATTAAGTGTGGTTGGGTCTATAGAGGACAAGAAGAATGTATGATGTATCTAATAATTTCTTGGAAGCTGATTGTGGTGAGAGCCCAGGACTCAACTCCCCTCTTCTCAAATTTCCTCTCTTCTATCACGTCGAAACCGTTAACCTTTCAAGTTTTAAATTAATAGCATATTATTTTTACCCTGTTTCTCTAGTCAAGCTCTGTTTTTCTTCTTCTCCTTCTCCTTCAGGAAGCAGGTGATTGCTCTGTTTTCTTCTTGAGAATCCAAAATGATCTTGTACCAAACAAAATTATCCTTCTCAATAACAATAACACTTCTTTTTGTTACCTCCCAAGCAAACTCAGTTAACTCAGAGAACACCAAGTGCCAAGGCTTCTGCAAACCCAGCAATTTCTCAGACCTTAACTTTCCATTCAGGATTCTCGTGGGTTTAGTGATCTTATCAACTTGCAACTCAAGCCGGGTCACAATTGAGGAATTCCATGTCCTAACATAATTTGTCTCGGACATCATCATCGAAGTACCCGCCAAATGCGAAGGACTGTTTATCAATCAATATTGTGATTGTTCGGTGAAAATACGCGCTTTCCGTTGCTAATTATTTCTTCTCAAAACTTTTATGCCCTTAACGTCCTTGCGTAATGAGGCATGTTTTTAGAAAATCATTCAGACTTAACACTTGCAATGATAAGAGTGGTAATTTTAAGTTGTTTTTCCGCGGTGATGGTGGGAGCTTGTTTTTTTGTTTGGTATAATAATACGCAGTGCCGTTACTTGTTTTCGTCGTTCAATATGGTTGATTTGGCAAGGGCACAGCATTTTTATGAGTTGGAACAGTTAATTGGAAGGTGGTTAAAGGGCACTGTAATTGTGATAAAAATGCTGATTGTACGGATGTTAAGAAAGGTAACCGTACGGTCGGGTTTAGGTGCCTTTGCCAGGAAGGGTTTGAAGGAGATGGGTTCATAAAAGGCGGTGGTTGCCGGAGAGGTGAGTCAACTTCAAGGTCAATTTATTCATAAATATAATATTCATAATTATTTCTTCTTTTCTTTTCTTGAATCTCATGCAAATACCAGTTTCGGGTGGGTGCACTGGATCCATTTCCAAATATCTGTCTGGTCAATGCGGGGGATCATCAAGGGTTGGTGTATTGGTTGGAGGTAATTTGACAAGAAATCACATTTTCACTTCAGCTTCCACTCTCTTTAATTAACAAAAATAGACCAATGTATGTGTCAAAATAATTGCAGCCTAATTTCTTATATTTTGCAGGCACTTTTCTTGGTTTTGGATTGCTTTTGCTACTTTATATGGGCTACAAATATTTACAAAACAGAAACAACATTAAGCTAAAAGAAAAAAAGTTCTTCAAGACCAATGGTGATTTACTGCTGAAACAACAACTATCTTCGAGCGAAGTTAATATCCGAAAAACCAAAATTTTCACTTTGAAGGAGTTGGAAACAGCAACGGATCATTTTAATGAGAATAGAATACTGGGCAAGGGTGGTCAAGGTACCGTCTTTCAAGGGGAGTTGGTCGAGGGAAGAATTGTTGCTGTTAAAAAGTCTAAAATGGTTGACAAAGAAAAAATCAAAGAGTTCGTTAATGAGATTGTCATCCTTTCACAAATAAATCATCGGAATGTGGTAAAATTATTAGGGTGTTGCCTGGAGACAGAAGTTCCTCTGCTTGTCTATGAATTTGTTCCCAATGGAACTCTTTCCCAGTATCTCCATGATCAAAGTAATGAGTTTTCAATGACTTGGGAAATGCGCGTACGAGTTGCCTCGGAAGCCGCCGGAGCTATTTCTTACTTGCACTCAATAGCATCAATTCCCATTTATCATCGAGATATTAAGTCTGCAAATATACTGTTGGATGAGAAGCACAGAGCCAAAGTATCAGATTTTGGAATATCAAAGTCCATTGCCATTGATCAAAGTCACGTTACAACTCTAGTATATGGCACAATCGGATACTTGGATCCAGAATATTTTCAAACAAGTCAATTTACTGAAAAGAGTGACGTTTACAGCTTTGGAATAGTTCTTGTTGAGTTGTTAACAGGGAAGTCTCCTGTTTCTTTAGCAAGGTCTGGAGAAGATAGAAGTTTAGCGGCATATTTTATTGCCTCGATGGAAGAGGATCAACTTTTTGACATTCCTGATGTTCGATTATGGAGAACTGTTTCCTCGAAGAGATCATTGCTGTAGCCAAACTAGCAAAGAAGTGCTTGTGCTCAAATGGAAAGAATCGGCCTACAATGAAAGAAGTTGCAACGGAGTTGGAGAGAATTGTACAACTGCAGAAAAATTTAAATGGCGAAGAAATTGAATGTGTTGAAGAGATTGACTTGCTTGATATATCTCTAATCTAAATATGTTCATTAAGATTTTGTAAGGTCAATCGGGGTATACCGTTATACAATATTTCATGTTCATCTTTTAAGTCTGGACCTTTAAAAAGTCTTTAATTGGGTCTTTCTATTTGTTGAATGTTAAGCAATTACGGATACATGATGCTATGTAAGACGCCTTGATAGTCTCCTAGTTTGTTTTTTTCTATTGTCTTCCCTTTTCTTTTTCACTTTTTAGAAACCCCGTAATCATCCTCTACCTTCCTTCCATTGTCTACAACTACCGAAGCAATTCCTTCCATTCTCTTATTGTCAGGTCTCCAATTTGAATGATTTCACAGATGAATCTTGTCCAGCTTATGAGAAAGAATCTTAAATTTGTTCGATATGCCAAGGATCATGTAACTAATTTTTGGACGGTGGTAATGAACACTTTTCTAGTATTTATGTACTCAAATCAAATTCACGTGTGCATCAAAACCAAGAATCATAAATCCAGATTTGATTCCCTAACACCATCCAAAAGAGAGTAAAAAAATCCTCATAATCCAACAAATTTTACCCGAAAAAGAAAGCTAATGCTGTCAGGTTAGATATCAACCAATCAACCAAATTTATCCGAACAGCATGAGATAGCCTCCAAAGCACCCAGCTTGACGACACATGAGGACCGATGGCTCGCACCACGGTGTCAGGTTGCTTTGTGTCGGTCAACAAGATAACATTCTCTGCTAGTCTACTGCCGTAACGTTAGCCTCACTCATAGTAAAATCCACAATATTTAAATAAAGCCCACTCGCCACTGGTTTGGAGTACATAGAACGTTGAAACCGACAGCCAAAAATCACATGAAAGGAACAAAACAAAAAGCAGAAAATGACGAAACCTCACCAAATTATTAAGCCTTCTTTTTTCTTTTATTTTTATAAATACAGTCCCCCTTTGGCACTTCCAGTTTCCTCGATATCTCTTATCTCTATCTGTAACACTTTTTTCAGTTTTTCTCCTCATAGAAAAATGGATTTCATGATTCCCAAAGCTCAGCCATATGTCTTAGGTGTTGATCAGAAGTTGATGAGTGCGAAAAACCCAGAAGAAAAAGATGCTCAAACAACCAACTCTGTCACCAGCCAGCTTCAGATAAAATCCTCAGCTCGGTCTTCCCCTGAAGCCCTCGACAAAGAAGTTGTCCTTAGGCGTATTCGTCATCACAAGTGCAAAAACAAAGTCAAAAGTGTTTTCCAGGCTTTGGTTGGCGGTTCAGGACAAGCTCAAGAAAAGTGGATGGAACTGGGTGATGCTTTTACCTGCCCCTGAAAGGAAGCTAAAAAAAATCCATGACACTATGAATGCCACGGAAAAGAGTTTAAAACTCTCTTGTAGAAGAAGCTTATCTTCCCAGAAGAAGTGTTTATGGCCAAATGAGTACTTGGTAGGTGGTAGTATTGTTTCTCTCCGATTCAAAGAGAACCATTGTTGCAGTTATGATTGATTGAAATTTGAATCCGGGATTCTATTATGTGTTCTAGATTTCTAGTACAATAATTCTGTTTCTTTTTGTGATCATGAATTTTGTAAACAAGCAATAAAGATATGATAAATCTTCTAGCAAACCAAAACAAATCCGGTAATGCAAATTGCAAATTGTTACAAACTAGTTAATTTTTTTACTGGGAGTAGCTTAAAATTACCACCAGTGCACAACACATACATCCCCAACCATCTGATCACCTCATCAAGATAGCATATCTATGTTCAAACAAGAATTGACTCGATAAGCTTGTTCATTTCGAAGTAAATGATTATCTTTTTTTTTTTTTTTCAATTCTATGACGTTAATCTAGAACGCAAATCTTGCTTGATATATGGGACATAATATCTTATCTTCCCTGAATTTTTTGAGACAAAAAAGAAGAAAATTTCAACTTTGAATAATCAAAAGACAATTTCATATGAAAATAAATTGCTTATTTATACGTTGTTAGTTGGTACAAGAGAGTTTTACCGGACTTTTCTATGGAGCTTCTTCTACTCTTGAGGGATCTTTCTTTGTTTTTACTTACGGAATTTGGTATTAACATACTTACGACTATGACTTGGAAAATTTTTTAATCATAAAATGAATGGAAGCTGCTATTTGTTGATTGCTCAATGATGGTGATGACTGATGGGGATTGCAATAATAAATTTGCTAATGACATGAGAGGGTTTTAAAATCCATGCTTACATAGCTATGCGTAAGAATACCAACTCTTAGAGACCAACCACAAGGTCAAACATCTGCAATGAAGGATGTGAAGGGGCAGCACATTGAAAGCAAATTGGATGAGAAATGTCGAGTTATAATTTAACTACACTACACGTGAATATTGATTGGATCTTTGCGTTTTCGAGAACGATTGGAAGGATAGTATAAAGGACCATAGAGAAGCATAATAACGCCTCCACCAATGAAAAAGTACACGTTGTTGGAATCCAGTAATAAGCCTGAAAATATGGTGCCTCTAATGGACCCAGCACTTGCACTTGATTCCTTATCCCAAATCAAGATTCAAACAAATTAGGTTGGAGATATGAGTGGAACAGGTGGGTGATACCATACCAATGAAATGGAGAGCCCTTTATATGATCCTGTTCCCTGTGACGATAGAAAAAACAATTGCTAATAAATTCAATATTTTTTTCAATACAAACAGTGAAGGCCTTCCAAAAGTTTGACATGCCATTGGCCAAATTAACAACCCAGAAGTTGAGGTGGAAGATCAGGTAGAATTTCTTCTTAAAAAACATCATGGAATTCATCGAGAGGAGTATGTATTATAGGAGGCAGCTCATTCTTGTCTTCATTTCCTTCAGCCACCACAGTAGGCATAGAATACTTCTAACGCTTAAAAATCTTTTCAATTTCCCACCTGTTTAGAAAGATTGGGAGTGATCTCAGGTTTGGAAGGACCCTAGAAAACTTTATTACAATCTTTTACAGCTTTCACGTAACCCAGACGTAGAAAGGACGCAATTAAGACGAAATGCTTGGTTGGAATTCTTTAAAACTGAAGATGACCTTGGAACTTGCATTTTCCTTTTCTTCAAGAACTCCGAGGAATTCTGTAAGCATTGACCAGGTGGTATGTCCTTCAAAATAACAGGTTCTAACCTGCAGATAACAATGTACATGCATAATTGTTATGTCTCAAAAGCCCTGATAAGAATGCCTTTCCTGTTATCTCAAAAAAGAAGAAAGGAATTTTTTTCTGTTAATGAGAAAAGTAATCCCTCACCCTGAGCCTTTCTTCTTTTTCTTTCTTGGAGTGGGCTTTAACTCAGCCTTCTCATCCTCAGAGTCCGATAAGAAAACTTGTCTACAAAAAGAACAAGTTTTCTTCCTTAAACTATTTACATCTAAAGACCAAAACTACACACAGAGATATATATATAGATGGATAAATAATAGATAGAGATGTCATACTTTTCACGAGATGCAAGCATTTCAATAATGTTAGTAGGAAGCATCCCCTTCTTGGCCTGAGACTCCTCATCAGTTTCAGCTTCTACATCTTCTTGGCCGCTTTCAACCCTTGCAGATTGACGTGGAGTTTTCCTCTGAGCCCAAAGTCTGCGACGTTCTTTTCCCTCACGAACAACCCTTTATAGAAGAGATCACCTTAAGCTCCAGAAAACTAAAACTTTTTATATTTAATATGTAAGTAAACTTGATGCAATCAAAAGTTCAACATGACAATTACAGAGCGGAATAGCACAGACTCAATTCAACCAAGCTTAATTCCCACTTTATTGTATATGTACATTCTTCCATTTGATCCAGAAAATAAAACTTTTTTTTTCTTTTTAAACTAGTTGTAAAGTTAATATCTGCTGTTCTTTCTTACCATATGAGAAAATACTGCTCGCTGTCTTAATTTTTCTTTCATCTCTCTCCCTTCCCAAGAAGATGTTAATACCACCTCTATAGACATGTCCCAAATATGCTACCCACAAATATGTTACAATTTCAAGACCATCCCATGAACCATGGGAAGCCTAGTAAAATCATAAATCACAGGTAACTTGAAATTTGCCTAATCTGAATTCCCAAACTTCACCTTTAAATTACTAGTCTTCAGCCTCAAAATATAGCTGTCGGAAAAAGAATGAAGCTTAGCATCACCAGTTCACCACATTACCATAAAACTGGCACCAAGTAATCAACCTTGCCGTTTTCATTAAGTTCAATATAGACTCAAGAATCATAAAATGATCGAATCAATACAACTCTTACATTTAACCAAGTATTTGATTAAAAGGGGTTCTAAGGCGTCAATTTCTTAAGGCTAAGCCAGAAAAACTCTTGAATTTTATTACTTTATTTAGATAAGCCCTTATATTTTTATTGCACTCAAACAAGCATTTAATTTTTAATTTGTATTCAAATAAGCCCTTATCCTTCAATTTATGCCTAAATAAGCCCTTAAAATGAATGAATCTTTGTTTGAAATAAGGGCATATTTAGATACAAATTAAGGGATAAGGGTTAAGGGGCTTTTTTAATATTTTAGCCATTTCTTAAGCCCAAAATACACTAAATCTTAAGCAGCTTAAACATACCCAGAGCTACAAATTCTTCCCCTCTTTGTTTTAGCCACTTAATAGGGGAAAACCTCAATCTGCAACTTGATCTTACACAAAATAAACAAAAAAAAAATTTTTAATCCAAACAATCTTCTCAAAAGGCAATATAAATATAAATAAAAATATACATTTTTGTCAACTATATATATTAAAGAAAAAGAGAATTGTAAGTAATTAACTGTTTACCTGGCATTGTTTTCTTTCTGTATTTTTCTTATTTCTTCATCTTGCTTTATTCCCTGCAATTAAAAAACAAATTAAAAATCCACTTTTTTTTTGTAATTTTCTATTAAGAAAAAAGAAAATAAAAGAAAGGAAGAAGCAAAAAATATTTTCATGAAAACCTGCTCGTTTGTAAATTCTTCGGGTGCATCAGAGTCGTAACCTACTCTTTCCGACATGTCGTGTCCTTTGTTTTGTTGGGAAGCTTTGAAAGTGTTTGTGTCTCTAGGGTTTAAGGTGAGTGACATTAAAATCAGAAACTTTGAAGATATGCGGACAAAAAAGAAAGGCCCAAGTTCTTATATTGGACATCAAGACAACTCTATGTGGTCTTGGGCTTTCTTTTTCTTTTTCCATTTTGTACCATCTTTTAGTTAATCTTGCAAGAGCTCGGTTTTATTTTACTGGTACAGTAATCTTTTAACTTTACAAACAGGATAAAAAAATTATTACACATCATAATTTTTAAAATATCTATCATCTTATTAATTTTTTTTTATAAAAAAGCTTAAAATTTTCACTAACAGAAATAATTTCTCATCTTGCAATTTTTTTTTACATTTTTTCTGATAAGTATTTGTATTAATTTATTTATTGCTGCCAAGATTTAGGTTGGGTTGGGTGATTATATTTTTTCCTATTTCTTCAACTTTAGTTTCAATATTTTTTTTGTTGGATCCAATCAAGTGGTATCTATCTAGTCAATTTTATATTTTTTTCATCAATTAGTATGAAGGACTAACTATCTTTCTACTAATATTATATGAGAAATCTTATAATTTTGTGACATTTGCAGCATCACTTTATTTTTCTAATTAGTAGTAAAGGCTAGGTTTTGTTTAATTAGCTTTTATTTTTGTGTATAACAATTATGATTCTTGCCACATAAGTGATGTTATATCTTACAAATTTAGTAATTTTTTTCCATTTTAATAGAGAGAGGTTCTTTGAACTTTGTAGATAACTATGGGTTTTTAATTTTGAGAACCTTACAGCATCAAAACACCTCCATGGCAAGGTCATGAAAGGAGAAACTAAATCCTTCATATATCTTTCTACTTCGTATGTTTTTTTTATTATATTTTTTGTACAAATTTTCTTGTTTGAGATTGATTTTGGCCTCATTTAAAATAGTTTTTGTGTTAAAAATTATATTTTATTAAATGCAGTGCTAAACAACAAAAAAATATTGTGTTTTCGGTCTAAAAACTTAATTTTTCAAGCAAAATAATAAAAAAAAATTCCTCGGGAAGTGATTTTGCGTGAAAAGTGTGTTTGAGATAAAAAAAAAAACTTTATTATCCTTATATGTCTAATAATTTATTATATTTATTTTAGACATGTCAAGTAATGCTAAACTAGCCTTTGCTATCGCTTGATAATAGCTAGTGGCCGCATTTATTAAATTAAATATTCCAAAAGCTTGATATGGTATCTTGTGCATATAACTTTACCTTCTAAAAAATTCTATATTATGCAAAAAAAAAAAAAAAAAATGATACGAATGGCGTCTCTCTCTCGTGAAGAACAAGAGGAACTGTAACGCAACATCAAGAAGATAAAAGATCATCATCCTCCTGAGAAAGCAAAAACACTTTAGTTGAAAGCTTGCCTATGAGAGCTCAAAGAAACCTCGTTTCATATCAAGACTCCCTTTTGGGTGCTTCTTATGGAGCCTACGAACAAATTTTTGTAGAACCTGAGGAGGAGAACATGGAAACTGACTCGAAAGATGAGATATAAGATCAAAAGACTATTAAAGATTCACATATCATCAACATTACTCGAAGCAAACAAGAGAAGACCCGAATACGTAACAAATGGGCAAAAACACTGATTGTCAAAGTATTCGGAAGAAATGTTGGGTATTAGTATCTGCTCTTCAAGTTAAACCAAATATGGAAGACACAAGGTAAGGTTTTTGCCGTTGATCTTGGCATTGACTATGTTTTGATCAAATTCCAAAACCTTTGACTATGATTATGTCATTAAAGGAGGGCCATGGTTTGCGGGAACCCATTTTCTTGCAATAATAAAATGGTCACCAAATTTTAAAGCCTCTGAATTACCCATTGAATACTATGATACTGAGATTCTAACGAAGGTAAGGAATGACATTGGAGTTCTAAGAGTTAATAGTCACACACTTTAAGAAGAAAGAGGTAAATTTGTAAGGTTGTGTGTCCAAGTTAACCTGGATAAACCATTAAAAAGGTATGTCATGGTTGAAGGTAAAAGGCAAGCCATCATTTATGACGGTATAGGTATGCTTTATTTCAATTGTGGCAAGATTGGGCATAAAAAAGAATTCTACTTTGAAACTGCAATAACTGCAAATGAAAGTCATCTGGAACGGGAGGAGAAAACCATGCAAGAGACACCAAAATTGATTTAAAAAAAGGAAGAGGAAAAACCATATGGCTATGGACCGTCGATGTTGGTCCAAAAGAAAAAGACAAGACAGAAGAAAACAGCTGGTGGCAAGAACCAGATTAATCACCAAAATCCTAGCCACACTAACACAGGTGAAGAAGAGGCTCAGGGAAGGAAAATTCATATTACAGCCAACCAAAAAGACTGATACTAGGGGGAAAAACAACCTTGGGCAGATTTAAGTTTTGAAAGACACGTCCCTTCCAACCTCGGACTGATCAATTGAAGAACATAAAGGGCAGGGTCCTATTACCTAGGCAAAAAATAATTTAAACTGGCAGGTGAAAAAAAGGTCAGTGAAAGACAAAAAAGTGTTAACAAAGAAAACTCCACAAGAGAGAAGAAGGATAGTATATTGCATATTGAAGATAATAACGTAGTTTAGGTAAGCACAGTAACTTGGGAATAGCCCCAAAAACCCTTAGCTCCATTTACATGAAAGATAAAAGTCCCATGCATGAGGACATGCAAATTAATAAGACATGCCGCCTGGTCATCGATCATAGACTTACGAGGGCAAGGACTCAAAAGCCGCTCTGTATTAGCCCAAAACTAAAACAAAAACACAAGAAAAAACCAAGGCAACCCAACATGTTGACTCCATGTAACCACCGTCGCTTACAAAGGCCAGAGTTCAGAGGCCTCAAAGCCAACCAAAAAATGAGGGTTTGTCTGAACAAAAGAATTAGAAGAGAGAGGTTGCGACAAGTGAACCACATTCCCTCCCTAGGCAGCTTCAAATTCAGCTTTGGCCTCTCTGGGCTATAACCAAGACCCACTTCGACAAGCCCTCAACGAGAACAACGCGAGAAAAGGCTCCACAGATCAATCTCCCTTTGTGAAAGACGTTACCAGAAAGACAACTATGGTTTGGAAACCCACCCAACAAGCAACCACAGTACGACTTTAAAACATGTTACCACTTTTGATTTATCCCCCTCCTATTTTGGCTTTCCTGCACCAAACAACACACTATTATGAGGCAATGGATCCTTCCAACTTTCTGGAACAAAAGAACACACAAATGTGCCCACAATGGATTATAAAACTGCCAACAGCCCCACTTCATTTGATAACTCTGGAGATACACTGCAAGAGCACCCAAATCTCTATAACAAAAATCATAGTGAACAGGACTACACACAACTTCAAGAATTATGCAAGCTCTCTAGTAATTCAGGGGATCGAGAACCTGTTCCAATAAGTAGAGGTGATTCTGAAGATGGAACGGGATAAAACCCAAGCTTGGAACATGAACCTGCTCACGACATTCCCAATCCCCTACTCTCAACGTGATCCCATGCCGATTATCGTATGGAATTGCTGAGGAGCTCGGCACCTTGACTTCGTGAGGACAGCAAGAGACTTGACCAACTTTCATCAGCCTTTAATCATGGTAATCACCGAAATGAGAGCTTGTGGAAGAGATGTTTGGCACATTATTGATCGACTCCCTTTTGATGCTTAGAAGGACACAAAGACAATTGGATACCAAGGAGGCATCTGGATGCCGTGGATGTCTGATCTGGTCACAATCCATGAAATTTGCCACATTGAGCAGGAAATTCATGCATCAGTCAAGGTAACATCCTCTAACTCTTCTTGGTTATTTTCAGCTATATATGCTAGTCCTAGATTAAAAGAAAGAGAAATTCTCTGGGAAAATCTTAAGATTGTTGCGTCCAAGTATGATTTACCATGGCTAGTTGTTGGTGATCTTAATGAAGTGTTGACTTCAGAGGATAAAAGAGGGGGCGCACCGGTTTCAAGTGCTAAACTTAGAAAGGTCCATTCCTGTTTGAACCATTGTAACCTTATTGACCTTGGCTTTAAGGGGGCTAAATTCACTTGGTCAAACTTGAGATATGCCCAACAGCTTATCCAAGAGAGAATTGATTATGTTCCAAATAATCCTCCTTGGAAATTCCTTCACCCTATTGCAATGATCTCCCATCTGCCTAGGGTCAGATCAGACTACCGCCCAGTCCTCATTTTACTTAAAGTTAACCCTTTCTCTTTCAGGGACAATCCATTTCGTTTCCAAAGAATGCGGCTCGATCACCTTCACTTTTTGCGTGTCCTTGAACTAGGTTGGTCTCAAAGAAACTTGCCCCTTTCACAAACCATCGAAACCTTCACTGATCAATTCAAATTATGGAAAAGGGAAACCTTTGGAAATGTGTTCCATAAAAAATGAAACATTATGGCCAAACTAAGTGGCATTGGGAAAGCCTTAGAGACGAAACCAAATGACTTCCTTCTAAACCTACATGATTCTTTTAAGAAGGAGTATCAAGAGGTTCTAAAAAATGAAAAACTTCTATGGGCAATGAAATCTAGAGTCAACTGGATGATTGAAGGGGAGAAAATGCAAGATTCTTCCATGTTACAACCCTTATAAGGCAACAAAGAAACAAAATAGGAGGTTTTTATGATATGAATGGTGAGTGGATAACAAACGGTACAAGGATTCAAAAACTTATCAAGGCTCACTTTACCTCTTTGTTCACAACCTCCAAAGTGGTGGAAACCAGAAATGCATGGGCAACCAAACCTGAAGTGGGTGAATTTATCTGATGAAAAGTCACAAATCTTCGATCTCCTCTTGAGGAGGTTAAGATTCATGAGGCCCTATGGAAACTGAAAACCTTCAAGGCTCTTAGCCCTGATAGCCTTCACCATGGGTTCTTTCAATAATGCTGGGTGCAAGTTAAGGATAAAATGTGTGAGATCATATTGGACGTTTTCAACAATGGAAAACTCCAAAATGGAATCAATGATACTCCAATAACTCTTATCCCCAAAGGACATTCTCCCACCCTTGTCAACTAATTTCAACCTATCAGTTTGCTTAACACCACTTACAAGATAGTGACAAGAATTATGGTTCAAAGGTTGCGGCCTCTTCTAAATAAACTCGTCTCCCCTCTCCAATGCAGCTTTATCTTAGGAAGACATTTAGTCAATAGTGTGATTATTGTGCAAGAAGTTCAACATTTTTTAAAGAGGAAAAAAGGCAAGCACAGGACAATGGTTTGGAGGTTGACCTTGAGAAAGCTTATGATCGACTTGAATGGGGATTCATCCAAAAAATATGCAGCTTCTTTAAATTCCCAAAAATGTTGATAAATATTATTATGAATTGCAATCACATCAACCATGTTCTCGGTGGTGGTTAATGGGGGCAAGACGGAGAGCTTCTACCCTTCCAAAGGCATTCACCAAGGAGATCCTTTGTCCCCATACATCTTCATTCTTTGCATGAAGCACTTTAACAGCCTTATACAGATAGCTTGTGAAAGAAAATAATGGTACCTGATTAAGGTTTCTAGAAGGGATCCCCAAATATCCCATCTTTTATTTGCGGATGACGTGGTTCTTTTTCAAGAGCTGATAAAAAGTCCTCAAGTACCATTAAATATGTCCGGGATAAGTTAATGAAAAAGTCAAAACAAAGGGTGAATGTGGAAAAATCTAGAATCATTTCTCAAACAGCAAAAAAGAGAACTATAAGGAATGGATCACAAAATGGACACGAAAAAACCCTTACTCATTTGATGGCTAATTTCCAATGGTTAAACCATTGTTGTAATCTCTTAATCACTCGGTCCATTCTAACCTCAATAACAATGCTGCTTAGGAAAATTGTCTTAGAACCAACAAAACAGATAAATCATGGCTGCCTAAAAACCCGATACCATGGAGCACAGTGTTTGTTTTCCTTCTATAGGAGAAATGGATAGCAAGAAACTTATTGAAGGTAAACCAATCAACAGCAAACTTACTGAGAAAGCTGTAGAAAGGGCAATTGAATACGACGCACTTACTGGAAAAATTAAAAAAAAAAAAAATCCTTCACCTACCATAACTGGTGTCCAATGGAAACCACCAACTCAAGGTTGGATCAAGCTTAACACAGATTGATCATCCCTTGGTAATCCATGAAAAGCGAGGGTAGGAACAATTCTTAGGAACCCAAAAGGAGTCTGGATCAAGGGTTTAGCCAGACACCTACCTAAAGCCACGAGTGTTAAAGCTCAATTATAGGCCCTTCCTAATGGCTTAAACATGGCTAAAGAAAAGGGAATCAGACAACTTGAGATTGAGTTGGATGCCACTGTTATGATAAACTTTATTACTAGTGATAGTGTGATTAACCTTCGACTTAACACCCTCATTTCTGATTGCAGGACTCTGTTGAAGAACTTTTAACGGATTACGATGAAACATATTTTTTGTGAAGGCAACAAGTACGCTGATGCTTTGGCGAGATATGGCAGTGATGGGAACAACTTTGCCATGGGAGATATGCTTGATGGCTCTTATTTTTTTATCTTTAATGATGTACATGAATGTGTTTTCCTTTTTTTATTACCTGAGTCTAATGGTGTTGTTTTGCAGCTACTTCATTTTAATCTATGAATGCATGCTTTCTAGATCCCAAAAAAAAAAAAAAACTTAACCTTCTCAATTAAAGATGTTGCTATTTTAATATTAATACAACAAAAACAAAGCTAAAATTTTTTTTAATAAGATTTAATTTAATTAATTCATATAACCATCCTTTAAGAAATTGCATTCTGATTTGAAATTTAAATTTTAACATTTATAATCTCTTCTCTTCTTCACATATTTCGATTTCCTTCATAAAAAAAAAAAAAATCTCTCTTAGAAATTGTATTTTGGATAAGGAAAAATCAACATTATGTAGACACCCATTTTTTGGAATGATTTGGTGGGCTTAAGATAGGGATAATAAGAACAATAAAAGCAAAATTTCAGTCCCGATAAAACTCTAAAATAAGAGGTTTGAAATTGGGCTGATAAAAGGATTCTTGAGGAATCAAAACAAAAGGATAAATGGATAAGGGTTTTTTGAAAAAGAGGATTTTTTTTAAATTTCTCAGTTGATCTTGGAGGTTAGGCGAAGCAATTTAAATCTTATATAAACCATCAATCGCATACAGTAAAAGGGAAAAAAAAGTGATCAAATTTTTTTTGAAAAAGTTATAGTTTTTTGAAGAGGTTTTTGGGAATTTATTGTTTTGATTGGAGGATTAAGTTTTTTTTTTTTTTGGAATTTTTTGCATTTGTTGAGAATTTCAAAATTAGTTTGAATTTTTCAATGACTTTCCAATGATAAATCCAGTTTTTAGCCAAAAAAAAACTTAAAAACTGACAAGAATTTCACTGGTATTCTTTGCATTCTAGAGAAAGACACAGAGAAAAAAAAAGGAAAGAGAGAAAGTGAGGAAACATCTGAGAAAAAGAGAAATTTTTACCTTTTTATACTAGCGTGAAACAACATCATTTGAGATTCTAAAAGTGGGCAAAATTCGTGTGTTGCCTAAGGTTTGACCTGATCTGTAACGCTTTGACCTGTTTACCCGTTTCACTCAACCCTGCTGAGCTGCTGACCTAGTCACTTCATCCCTTCCTCAATCGAACCAGTTCTCTTTAGCCAAACCACGCCAAGATTTTATCCTTTTTTTGTTTATTTATTCTATGTATTATTATTTTTATTTATTGGTTAAATTGATATAATTTATTTATTGAGTGATCATTCTTTAAATTTTCAATGATTTAATGACAAAAAAAAAATTAGAAAAAAATTGAAAGTATCGATTTTTCTTAAAAAATTTTCAAAAATATATTTTTCACAAGAAACATTTTAAGGAAAAATTAAAAATATCAATTTTTCTTGAAAACGAAAATTTCAAAAATGTTTTAAGGAAAAGTTAAAATTATTAATTTTTTTTAAAATGAAAATTTCAATAAAATATTTTACAGAAAAGTCAAAAGTATAAATTTTCCTTGAAAACGAAAATTTCAAAAATGTTTTAAGGAAAAGTTGAAAGTATTAATTTTTCTTGACAATAAAAATTTCAAAAATGTTTTAAGAAAAAGTCGAAAGTATCGATTTTTCTTGAAAATAAAAACTTCAAAAAAATGTTAAAAAATGCTTTTAAAGAAAAAAATAGAAGTATCAATTTTTCTTAAAAATAAAAAAATTTTAAAAAAATATTAAAAAATGCTTTTAAAAAAATGAAAGTATTAATTTTTCTTAGAAAATAAGTTTTTTCCAAAAATGTATTTCAAAAGAAATGTTTTTAAGGAAAAGATAAAAATATCAATTTTTCTTAAAAATGAAAACTTCAAAAAATATTTTTTTGAAGAAAAGTTGAGATTATCAATTTTTCTTAAAAGTAAAAATTTCAAAAAATATTTTTTGAGGAAAAATTAAAAGTATCAATTTTATTTGAATAAAAACATTAATCTTTCTTTAAAAAAATACAATAAAATAAGAAAAAAACTCAAAAAAAAGTTGAAGTATTAATTTTTTTTCTTAAATTTTTTTATGTTAAATAATTCGATAATAGAGCTCTTGCAAGAAAAATAATAGTTTTCTTGTATATTCTTGAGATGAGAGAATTTTTTTAATTTTTTGTCAAAAGTATTAGAGTCAATTAAATGTATTTTCTAATAATGAACTATTTAGTAAGATTTTTAAGGCTTAATAGATTACAGAAAATCAAATTGGTATCATCCTTTGATGGGAGTTATGAAGGTACTATAATTTTTCTTACACGTAATCATACTTCCGGACTTAATTCTAGTTTTATAGATATTAAATCTATCTTTTAAAGATACATGAATCAAACTTTAAATTTTTCTTTAAAATGAAATATATTCAATTAAGTGACTAATTATACCTAAATAAAAAAATTTAATAACAACTTTTTAAATCAATATCTAACTATAAATTGAGATACTTATACGTTATCACACACTCATCTTATACATCACTTTCTTAGACCAATTTGGCCGCATGACCAAGAAAACCAATCTTTGTACTAATCTCCTCCTTCTACAAAGGTTTATAATTACAGCTGGCCATGTGCCAGCCTCTTGACTACTTGATTCAAGTCTCATTTTCCTCTTCTCCTTTTTCCGCACCATTCCAAATCTATGTTTTTTCCACAAACTAGACGTTGGCATGACTTAGTCAATAAAAGCAAACATATATATATATATATATATATATATATATATATATACATATATATCGTTGTAAGACCGCAAGTTGCACGTTTTGGGGAATTTTCCTTGCCTGCCTGCAGGAATTGCATGCGAAACAGAAATGTTGGTCCTATTGCGTCTGGGACGACTGATGTCTGAATCTCATTTATAGATTCAGCCAACTGATTATATTCATTACAGGATAAGATCCAATTCTACCGTCCTAATGGTTCAAATATGTTATCAGTTTTTAAATAGATTATTTTGGAAATTCCACTTCAATCAATCCATACTAATTATCATTTGATTTTCACGTTTAATTGATGGAAAAACTAATGAACAAAAATTATTAAAATGTTAAAAATTTGCAAATTTAAAGATCAACAAAATATTATATTTCACTCAAAGTTTAAAAATCATTCATGATATTTACCCTTGTATCTATAGCTTCTCATCACACTGAATCTACGTCAAAGACTTAAAACCACACTTTAACACTGTGAAAAAGGGATTTTCACTACAATTCTAAATAGACTTTGGTATATATAAATGGTAAAACAAATTACTTTGTAATCTATTAGAGTCAAAAACAACCAAATCATATGTGAGAAATATGCATAAAATACGATAGTGTTTTTCAAGCCAAATACAACTTGATCTAATGCTTACCAATCTTTAAAATGAAAAGATGGGAGATCTTATTTCCTTGCAATTAAAATGAATAAAGAAGGATTGGAACAGATTTAAGTACGTGTTGGTCATGCAGTTAGGTCAATTTACGTACAACTTGTCCCCAGTTACGTGCGCCGATTCTGAAAAAAGTATTGTTGAAAAGTTCATGTGAAAAGCTTAGAAAATCTACTTAATTTGCCAAAATTTTAAAAATTAAATAAAAATTTTAATTTAATTGATTTATTTAATTATTTTTAATAAATTATATTTAACATATTTAAGATTTAAATTTTAGTATTTGTAATTTTTTTTATTTTCTAGATTATAACATCTTTGTTAGAAAAAAAAAAACCTGAGATAGTCTACTTAATTGGCCAAAAGCTTTAAAAAATGTCGTTGAAAATTTTATAAAAGTAGATAACCAAACAGGAAAGTGTTTCAATTTTATCTGATCAGGGCAATAAAATAAACAAAAGCCATCTACATTACACGCCATGCGTGACACCCACCATGGAAGTTTTTGCCTACATGATATTGCAAATCAAAGACCAGAAAAACAAAAACAATGTTTTAATTGTGACAAAGTCATATTTAATACTGGTCAAAAATTGCTGCTCTTTTTATCTTTGCTTTAAGGAAATTAAGGGGGGAAAACACTTTCCATTTGCGGTTCAACTTTGTCATCACTGCTCTCTTACAACAAACAAAGATGGATATGAAAATTTATATATATATAGATATATATGTTTTGAGATCAGATAATGCAAAATGAGATGACACCCACAAGAGATTATGGCTTTTGCAGTTTGCAAAATGAAACTAGCGACCCACCATGCATTCCAACCAGTTCCAATATCGTGGTTTAGACTTTACAGATCGATTGCACCATTCCTTGCATTCCTTCCTCTCCTTTTAAAATTTTATTAATTTTCTTTCTAATATCCATGATTTTTCTTAAGCTATTCTCCATGCCCATTGGGTTGTCATGTATATACCAGAATCTAAAAATTGTGTCATTTGTTATCACCTCCATTGTTAGAATTAAGATTATAATCTGATGATGTTGGATTTGAATCTGATAACTGAAGTATGAGATTGATGGAATGAGAGTAAAGCTAACTCTTATCATGTAACTTAAAATCATTTAAAAATTAAAAAAAAAATTGCCTAAAATTAGAGAAGATAATTCGTTATAATCTTGCCAAAATTATGATTTAATGTAAATATCATTCATAATTATTTAAATGGAGAGGATGGATTCATTCATTATTACAGTGACATACCAATTAACCTTTTTTTTTTTTTATATATCTTTTAAGGAGTGTTATTTCCCTAGCTAGAATTCAGGTCAAGGTGGTAATAAAGCTGATAATCAAAATCACGCTCCACAAAATTTTAATTTCCAAATATGAACTCAATTACATTAGACTTGACTTTATAGTAAGTTAAATAAAATTTTATTTTTATATTCATAATAATTTATTTCTTACATATGTGTAGTTTTTTCAAAGAATATTACACCTATATTTTAAGAATAAAAAATTTGATTAGTCTCCTGAATTAGCTAAACAAAGTATCAAAATACTCAATTTTGGTTTATTCAACTACTCAGATTCCTCTTAAGTTTTAAGATTTAAGGTTTGAAATTAAATACTATTTATAAATTAAAAAATTATATATTATAAAATGTTCAAAATAAAAAATTTAAATAAACTTGAAATTTGAATCAAAATTTAAAATATTTAAATTTGACTTATTCAATAACTTGAATTACTCAAGATTGAGCTTAATTCAATGATTAAGTCAAATTTGAATAATTTTCAAATCAAGCTTGAATTTATTAATCTCAACCAATGTTTTTTTTTATATATAAAAAGGTTATAAATAATTGTCTAAAAATAAAAAAAAATTATAAATATTAAAATTTAATTTTTAAACATAAATATTAATGATGACTGTATGAATAAACTATTTTAAATTTTGAATTAAATCTCAACCCATGTTAAGGTCTTCTAGAGATTAATATATTTTTTTAGGACTTTTTAGCGATTGGCAATTTCAATATTTTCATTAATTGTTGTCATTATATCCTTCTTAAGTACTGATACAGCTACCTTAATAAGCCCCCTAATTAGCGGAACTGTCACACGCCTTCAACGCTAATTATCTTTGGAAAATAAAAAATAAAATAAAAACAAAGCTTATTCCTTACGTTCTTAAAGTCAACGACCTGAAAACAAAGGCCTATCTAAGTCAACTATTTTGGCTCCATGGGCAATATTGTCCAATCATTCAATGTCACCTTATTCTATACGGCAGTAAACGAACTGTATCGAAGGCAATGCGTGTTGCAAAGGGGAAGCGACTGCAGTCGGATCTGCAAATTGTCATTATTACCCTTAAGTCAATGACTTATTTTATAATAATTAATAATTATATGGTTTCTGTGTGTTTGATACTTTAAATAAGAGAAATTTAAAATTAAATACTTAAACTTATATTTTATAAAGTATCTTAGCCCTGTGGACTAATACGATTTAGTCGCTATATTATTTATTTATCATTTTAACATAAAAATAAAAAAATAATAAAAAAAGGAGAAAAAGAATTGGGAGAGTGAGGGAAAGGGAAGAAAGGGAAAAGTGAGACGAGTAGGAGAAGGGTAAATAGACGCAAGAACTAGTCGGTTAAGTGGATCAAGCTGATCTACTTCGGACCGGACAAACCCACGTTGGTTTGCGTCAAATTGGATAGATCGACCTTTGATTCGCACTGAATCCGTTAAGAGATTTTATATATATATATAAAATAATGTTAGTTTAGCTAATTAACTCATTTTTTTTCAACCACATGTGATTTGCTTGAATTAGTGAGACTCGTAATCTTTATTTATGTACTTATCTTTTTTACGCTAGTAAAATTAAATTAAAAAAAAATACTTCACCGGTTAAAGTATAAGGGTTAATCCTATAATTTCATTTTAATAAATGAAAAAAGAAAATAATTTGACTCAAGAATAAAATTTTCAATAAAATTTGTGTATGCCTATTAAAGAGTTTAATTTATTTTAACTTTCATTATACAACAGATAATTTTTTTATTAATTAAGATTATCAAAGATTGAAATCACTAAAATTAAAAATTTAACACATCAAATGAATTTAACCAAAGAGAAAAAATGTCAAATCCCAATTGAAACAATTCCTTTTTTTTTTTCTTTTGTAAAAAACCAAAGCTTAGAGGTAATTGAAAAAAAAATAATTATGTGATAAAAATAGAATTTCATCTTACTGAAATTTACCTCTCCTATTATTAGATAATTCCATGGTTTTTACAATATTCACTGCATACGCAACAAGCCAACATCCACACGCTTATTCTCGAATTTGTGCTTTACTTATCCTACACTAGAGGTGGAAAAGGTCCACAAATCATAAATGTTTAATCACTTTTGTCTTGTTGACTTTTTAACCGTTGATTACTTCTAAATTTGACAAATCTTTCCCTCTCCCAACAAAAAAAAAGTACATTATTATTATTATTATTATTATTATTATTATTATCCAGCATTTATCAATCCACAAACCGAAAAAATAAAAAAATTTGAAGAAATATATTGAAGTATTCAATAAAATAAAATATTTGAGTCGTTAATTAGTATATCTTTTTAAAAAAACTAATTTGAAATTAGTTATTTTGTTTTAATAGTAAAAAGTTTTAAAATCCTAATTTTAAAATTATGATTTACAAATTTATTCAATTATATACGGATTAAATAACAGCATCAAAGAAATGAGTAGGAATCTACTCAATCCCAATATAAAAAAAAAAAAAATCAATTATATAATGATACTAGTCTAAATAAAATTTTCGAAGGAACAAATGGTATATAAGTGGGACCCCAGCAACATGATACCAAAGGATCATTAATCAAACAATAGTTGGTGATTTAACGCCGTCCATTCACACAAAAGAAAAAACCATTTTTTTCTTCCTAGTCAAAACTCTTTTTAATTGCCTGCTGACCGCAACACTATTCCTTGGTCCGTCCCCGTAATTTAAGTCATTTTTCAAGGTCATTACCGTCTAATCAATTACCCCTTGTTCCTGAACTTAAAGGGTACATCAGTCATTTCATAGTAAAATATACTATACTCGAACTTGACAAAGGAGTTTTAACTATTCTGTATACAAAACTTTTCTACTTTCTCATTTCTCATTTCCTCTTTCTCAAAAATCTCAGGTTTTTTCTTTCTGATCTTTTTTTTTTTTTTTTTCATTTTTTGTTTGATTTGAAAGAAAAACTAAAAATCCAAATCAAATAACTTCGAAAGAAACGTTAAAAGTAATTTCAGTGTTTGATTTGAAGCTCAGTTCTTGGAACAAAGCAGATTCAATTGCAATTGCAGCCATTGAAGAACAACAAAGAACAAGAAAAGTTCAGAGGTAATCTCATAAATATTCTCAACAAAACCAACCCCATTCATTCAAAAGTTTATCTTGTATTTTTTTTTTAATTTCCCCAATTTACCATGCATTGACCTTTCTTTGTATTAGCATTTATTGAGATTAGATGGCTTCCCCAACGCCATCGATTGCCCTGATTTAACTCCCCTCAATTACTCCTTTCTCTCTCCTTTTTTTTTTTTTGCAATTCTATTAAATATTAATATTTTCAAGTGCCCGCTATTTACTTTTTGCTCTGTTTTTGTTTATCTTCTTCTTTTCAGGAAGCTGATGATTGCTCCCTTTCCTTCTTAGAGAATCGAAAATGATAAAATTATATTTCTCAATAACAATAACACTTCTTTTTGTTACGTCCCAAGCAAACTCAGTTAACTCCGATAACACCAAGTGCCAAGGCATCTGCAAACCCAGCAATTTCTCAAGACCCTTACCATTTCCATTCGGATTCTCGCCGGATTGTCCAATCCGACTCAACTGCAGCTCGGCCGGGGTCACAATTGGAGAATTCCATGTCCTCAACATAACTTCCTCGGACATCATCATCGAACTTCCCGCCAAATGCGACCGACTGCTTTCTTCAATCTCTGATCTGTTCGGTGAAAACTACGCGCTTTCCGTTGCTAATAATCTTCTTCTCCAAAACTGTTCGAAGCCCTTACCAGCTCCTTGCGAAATAAGGCCAATGTTTTTAGAAAAATCATTCAGACTTACCACTTGCAGTGATAAGAGTGGTAATTTAAGTTGTTTTCCCGGCGGTGATGGTGGGAGCTTGTTGAGTTTTGAGGATCTTAATAATACGCAGTGCCGTTACTTGTTTTCGTCGGCTTCAATTATGGTTGATTTGGCAAGGAGCACAGCATTTTCTATGGAGTTGGAACGAGTTAACCTGGAATGGTGGGTTAAAGGGCACTGTAATTGTGATAAAAATGCTGATTGTAAGGATGTTAAGAAAGGTAACCGTACGGTCGGGTTTAGGTGCCTTTGCCAGGAAGGGTTTGAAGGAGATGGGTTCATAAAAGGCGGTGGTTGCCGGAGAGGTGAGTCAACTTTTCCGGGTCAATAGTTTTTATTTTACTTATTTTATTTTGTTTGTTTGTTTGTTGTGTTTATACCTTTTTTTTTGTTTTTTTGTGTAAACTAGACCTTTACGGGTTCTTTTCCCAATGAAAGGGGGTCGCCTCGGTTTTCTGACTGGTTTGGAATAATGGCTTTTTTGATTGTTTGACTTGGAATTTAGATTATTTTGGAAGGAAATTATGGGATTCTAAACTGATATCTAGAAATGGTGGTTTTAACAGTTTAACTAGGTTGAAAAAAAGGGCTACGGCCTATGGATGTAAAACTGCTATGAAGGTAGAAATTAATCTCTTAGCAAAATCATATACAATTTGATGTTTAGCTCTTTAGCTTATCGATTTTTAGTACTACCTGAATGAATATGAAGAGTTTCTACACGTCAGTTGCGTCTTCAAAATGGTGAAAAGGGGATTTTGTTGTAAAGTTATGGTAATTTTTGTTTATGCATTCCTTATTTGGTGGTTGAATTGCACCAAAAGGAGGAGTTTTTACCAGTAATTTCATTAGTAGTAAATGAACCATGTTTTCATGAATTTAGCCTCAGTTGTGGTTAAACTTGCTCATTCTGTTTTAAAGTTTAAGTACGTCATTGAACTTTATAGGATCTTACTTAGTGTAGTTTCCACAATGCATATATCTTGCATGCAAATTTTTGGTTTGGTTGGACAAACTTTAAACATTCACATCACCAGGACAGATTCCCCACACTTCACAAATTTCAACAGAACTGGTTAAAATTGGCTGTGAGAGTCATCGAATTGAACTGATTGCTCACCTACATGCTTCTCTTTAAGATAAATGTTCCCCACAATAAAAAACTCTATGCATCTCTCTTTTATAAGGTTTCCCTCTTCAAAAATGGCAAGAATGAAGTTGCGTGGTCATTGTCAGCAGAGAACAGTGTTGTTGACCTGACAAAATCAAGGAGTTTCCCCATGTTTAGGCACAAAATATACTGCTTTCTTTCACATCTCTGTCTGATATCTGACTTTCCTCTCTTCAAAGTTTAGGCATGCATAAAAGTAGAATGCACTAAAAATTTTGCAGATAGATTGGGATATTATAATTCATACCTTGTAAAATCTAGAGATTAGTGGTTTATGAAGTATAATGGCTGGAGTTTAAAAATCTCCTTTGGTTAAACAAAGTAGCTAGAAGGATCTTCCTATGATTAAAAATTTTGCATCATGTAAATTCGAAATTATCTCATTATGGAAATATTTTTGCTGTAAATACTTGAATGTAAAAGGTGACATTTTTCTGTAACATTCATTAAAACCAGCGTGATTCTGATAGGAACACTTTTCTGATGAATGAAAAAGGAAACCTGCTCGTCTACTGCAAAGTTGACATTAGCGTATTTTATCAGTTCCATGCCTATAGTTTATGACATTGTATTTAAGTCGAGAAAAATCTGGACACAGTGGAAGCCAGAATTGTTATCAAATTACTGCCACTACAGTAAAATATGAATTTATTGCCAGCATGTGAAATATGTCTTAAATGCACGGTCTTTGGTTCTGATGATTATAACCTGTAAAATTCTGTAATTGGATAAATTCATTAACTCCTCATTTCCCTATCTATTCTGGCTGCTATATTTATCAGTTTCCAAATGCAATCCTTCAAAATACATGTCTGGCAAATGCGGAGGAACTACAAGAGTTGCTGTTCTGGTTGGAGGTAATTATGCAACAATTCACAATAATTGTATTCGAGTGTTCTTTTCATCAAGACAGGGTTCATAATTCTTCTTATAACCTCTGTATTGTTTTCTTTAAGTAACGGATGAACTATGTTGTTTATTTGTTTTGTTCTTAGGGCTTATGGCTGGGGCTTTGGTGATGGGTGGTGTGGCTCTTTTATGTTGTTATGTGCGACGACGTTCTAATTCCATTAATAAACAGATGAGTGCAAAGCGCCTTCTATGGGAAGCTGCAGGCAACTCAAGTGTTCCTTTCTATGCCTACAGAGAAATTGAAAGAGCTACTAATGGTTTCTCTGAAAAACAGAGGCTGGGGACTGGAGCCTATGGTACAGTTTATTCAGGAAAACTCCACAATGACGATTGGGTTGCCATAAAAAGGTTCAGATATAGAGACCCTGGTAGTATTGACCAAGTAATGAATGAGATTAAGCTTCTTTCCTCTGTTAGTCACCCGAATCTTGTCCGCCTCTTAGGTTGCTGCATAGAGGAGGGTGAACCTATCCTGGTCTATGAGTATATGCCTAACGGAACTTTATCCCAGCATCTACAAAGAGAGAGGGGTGAAGGACTTCCATGGACAGTAAGGGTCACCATCGCCGCTGAAACTGCTAAGGCTGTTGCCTATCTTCACTCGGTGACTCCACCTATTTTTCACCGAGATATAAAATCTAGCAATATACTCTTGGACTACAACTATAGATCCAAGGTAGCTGATTTTGGTCTTTCCAGGCTTGGGATGAGCGAATCATCCCACATCTCGACTGCCCCTCAAGGAACACCAGGGTATCTTGATCCCCAATACCATCAGTACTTCCATCTTTCAGATAAAAGTGACGTCTACAGTTTTGGGGTTGTTCTTGTGGAGATAATAACAGCATTAAAAGTGGTCGACTTCTCACGTCCTCATAGTGAGGTAAACTTAGCTGCACTTGCTAATGATAGAATTGGAAGAGGCTGCGTGGATGAGATAATCGATCCATACCTTGACCCACATAGGGATGCTTGGACACTGTCATCAATTCATAATGTGGCTGAGCTAGCATTTAGATGCCTTGCTTTTCATGGAGACATGAGGCCTACCATGACCGAAGTCGCTCAAGAGCTAGAACACATCAGGCTCAGTGCTTGGGTTCCTGGCATGTGCATCGAATCACCATCGGCTTCATCTTGTCCGTCCTCAGATGATGAAAGTGAGAAATCTTCAAGTACTAGGACAGTCAAGAAGTCGTTAGTCGTTGGAAGCCGGAGATTGCTCATGAAGAAAAGGGGAGGAGATTGTTTAACTTCATTGGATGAAGTCAAAATTAGGTCTCCTGTTTCAGTCCAAGAGCATTGGTTAAGTGAACAAAGCTCACCTTCAACAAACAGCTTGTTGGGTAACGCATCTCAGCGAGAATGAGACATCAACAAGAACTGTTCCCTTTTGTTTTGTGCTTGCCCATCTATCTTCTCTTTTTTATTCTTTTCACAAACCACGAATATATCAATGTTGAAACCTCAGAAGTGTTTTAAAGCAATTAGCAAAGTGATTGCTAAGGTGTTTAACTTATTCTATTGTATATTTTACATTTCGCTTTTAGAATTAAAAATCAAATTTCTTTTTCGTCAAACTAAAGAAATTAAATCGAGACTTAGTTCAAGCAAAAATAATTTTTAATAAATATGAAATTCAAAATATTGTTTTATCTTCAAACAATGATCTTATACGTAAAAAAAAATAAAAATTAATAGGTTAATTTGTTTTCTTCATATATATGAGCATTAAAGTGAACAAAAAAAAAAAATACTACTATAAACTGTAAAACAAGAATAAATAACAAATATGATTATCAAAAATACTTAAACCAAATTAAACATACAAGAAAATCAAGATTTTTTGGACTCAGGCCCTAAAATTCCATTAACAATAGAAGTAGCCACCACAACGCCCAGAAACTCGGCTCCCGCCACAGCACCCGCCTGAGCAAACGCGCCAAAACTAACAGCACTTTCAATCTCCTTTTCCGCTGTTTCGATCTCCTTCTCCGCCATCTTCAACCCTTTCTCCACCGTAACGATCCCTCTTTCCGCTGTCTCCAGCCCTTTCTCCGCCGTCTCGAACCCTTCCTTCACGATCTCCACCGCTTCCTCCTCTGCGCTCTTTAACTTCTTCCTTAAACCGAACAACGGAATATCCTCCGCATTCGACACCGGTTCTTTAACTGTGAATGCCGTCGTTGTTGTCAGAAAGAACAGAAGCTGTCTCCGGTTCGGGAGAGAAACCAGCGGCGCCTTGGCAGATAGTCCAGGGTGCGCATTGCGCACACAGCGGATTGAGAAGGAGTGGAGGACAGGTGGCGAACTTGTGGATGCCATTTTGCTTTCTTTCCTTCACAGGGCTGATCTTTCTTTCGAAATCAAAATCGTGTGACACTAATAAATTTAAAAAAAGATTTTAGAATTTTCCCTCAATTACGTAAATACCCTTAAGCGAGTCCAACGTAGTCGTTTAGGAAGCATTTCACCTATAATTTTTTTTACAATATTATAATTCAATCACAATAATAATTTTTTCTACAATAATTTACTATTTATAAATATAAATTTCATATAAAATTTTAATAATTTTTATTTAATTTTAAATTATGATTATTTAATTATATTAGCAATTGATATGTTCTTTATTATGAATTAATTACAATTTTTGTAGTTGAGTTTTGAAAAATGTATAAATTGCTATTGGAAAAAAATAAAATATATATTTTATATTTTATATTTTAAATAATTATTGTTTTAATTTTAATTTTAATATGATTATTTTAATTCATTTATATGATATTTAATTTATATAATTTTATTATATATATTATTTAATAAATAAAAATATTTAATATTTAAAAATTCTTATAGATATCATCTGATAAAAAATTTGATCAACTCTAAAAAATTTATAATTTAAGTAAAAATATAATTTTTTAATTTATAGTAAAAAAGATATTGATAGTATATATTAAACAATTTTCAAACATCACATATTTAAGTTAATATAGTTACTTGTATTAGAATTAAGGTTAATAAGATAGTGAAAGTTCAATGTGTATAATTCTTTAGTAACAATTTGTATATTTTTCCAAGTTAAGCCAAAATTGTAATTAACTCCTATAAATCTCAATTTTTATATGATTTTCCGCCAGACAGGGTTTTTGAAGGAAGCGCGAGAGAAGCCCCAAAACTCTTTTCAGTTTTCCTTTACTTTGCATTTTCCCTAAACTGTTAAAGCACAAGATGGCTGAAGAAGAAGTTTCAGCCGCGGCATCTGAGGCATCGGTGACAACGACGGAGCAAACTCCTGGCCCCAAAAAGGAGGAAACCCTAGAAACGCATGGTTCAATCGAAGCCACTATCGAATCTGTGGTTCGAGGAGGCACCGAGTCGACATGCAACAATAACAATAATGCTGAAAGTTGTGTAGTTGCTTCGGATGTTGATCGAGAGAAGAGGCTGGAGTTTGCAGATGAGTTGACAGAGAAAGGATCCAAGGCTTTTAAAGAAAATGATTTCAGCGAAGCTGCTGATTGCTTTAGCCGTGCCCTCGAAATCAGGTTAAAGCTAAATTTCTTTTATTTATGTACGAGGAAATGGAGATGAATTTTCAGAATCAATTTTATGATTTAGGTTTTGCTTTTACAATATTTTTATTTATTGAACTTTTTTGAGTTTCATGCATTACTATCTTTTCTCATGTGAAGTAATTATGTTGAATTAACATCTTTTGAGGAAGCAAAATCCAATTAGGAGAGGCATTAAAGCAACAACCCAACAGAGGTTTAGACAATTTTCCATTAGGAGCTTAATTTACTTGATAAGTTTCAAGATTGCTTCTTTGTTCTTAAACTTATGTTTATTTCACACTAGGGTTCTGCATCATGGTGAACTTGCAATGGAGTGTCTCAATGCGTACTATCTCTACGGGCGTGCACTTCTGTACAAGGCTCAAGAGGAGGCTGATCCTTTGGTTTCTATACCCGAGAAAGAGGGTGAGACTCAGAAAGACTCAAACAAAGAAGGGTCGATTAAAGCTGCTGTAACTCGTGAATCTTCAGTTGCTTCTGTATCAAGTAATACCGAATGGGATGGCAGTATGTATTCCTAAAGGGAGTATTTAACTCTAGTTGAATTGAGCTTTAGATATTTGTGTATTGTTGAATCTTTTTCAATGTCTTGATATTTGTGTTATTGCTGAGAGATGGTACTAAAGCAGAATTTATACTCCTTCCAAGTTTTCATTTGCATTGTTGTCAATTGTAGATAGTAGCTGCTTCAATATCAATGTCATAGTCATTGTTGCATATGTTGCCATAAACTAAAACGTCAACTGTTCTTTACACATTTAATTTATTTCATTATGTGTTTCAGGTGGAAAAGAGGAGGAAAGTAGTGATAATAGTGACACTGATGATGTGGCTGAAGCAGATGAGGAGGACGCGGATGAGTCTGACCTAGATTTGGCATGGAAAATGCTAGACGTTGCCAGGGCAATTGCTGAAAAACAGCAGTTGGGTGACACCATGGAGAAGGTGGATATTTTATCAGCATTGGCTGAAGTTGCCTTGGAAAGAGGTCAGCACTTAACTGCTCATTATGGTTAGTTGCATGTGCTTGTTGGGGGTGGGTGGGGGGAAGGAGCAACCCTCTTTACCAATTTTGACTGTAGATTTTTCTTGAAGCATCTTGTTTCACCTAAAACATCAGTTTTGTTACTGTTATGCTTCTTTAGAGGATATTGAATCTTCACTCAGTGACTACCAGAAAGCTCTGTCCATTTTGCAACAGCTGGTTGAACAAGATGACCGACAAATAGCTGAACTGTATCCTTGATGAGGTTGAAATATCTTTATTATTGAAATTGTAACTCTTTATGTAGTACTCACTCCCAGGTTCAACTAAATAGTGTGGCATGTTGGTCAGTGAATGCATGCTAGTCAAAAAAGAAATGTGGATCCCCCTAATTCCAATCTTCAATTTCATTCAAATTCTATATTTGATACTTAACCCTATAATTTAGAAATTTTCGAATATGTATGTGTTTGGAGATTGGCTCAAAGCCCAAAGAAGCAATTCCATACTGTCAGAAGGCCATCTCAGTTTGCAAGTCTCGGATGGAGCGGCTCACAAATGAAGTAAAGATTTCCTCAGGATCCGCTGCCTCTGAATTGGGTGATGGTGTACAACAGTCCACCAATGGTTCTCAGACTGCTAAGTCTATCAAGGATAAAGAAGCAGAAATTAAAACACTAGCTGGACTTGCTGAAGACCTGGAAAAGAAGGCAAGTGCAATTTTGATTATCTATCTGGACTAAAACCTTAATGTATAGCTTACTTTAATATTCTGTCCATTTCCGCATTTGTAGCTTGAAGATCTACAACTGCTTGTCTCCAACCCAAAGTCGCTTATTGCAGAAATCCTGGGAATGGCATCTGCCAGGGCAAGGGGAGGTGAGAGCAGTGCATCTCCTGCTATATTGAGCTCTTCACAGATGGCTACTGCTAACAACGATGGAGATTTTGATTCTCCAACTGCTTCCACTGCTCATACGAATGGGGCTGCACCGGTCACACATCTTGGCGTTGTAGGAAGAGGAGTGAAACGTGTTTTGATGAGTACTGATGCAGTAGAATCGAGCTCAATAAAGAAACCTGTAATCAACCCACCTTCTGACAAAGGAGATGGCAGCAGTGCCTCTTGATTTCCGTCCTAGATTTTGATAATGCATGCCTACTAATTCCCAGTAACTAGTAGTCGTTGGTGTATGCTGTTGAACCATACAACACTTATGGTTTATCAATCTTTCTCCTTTAGGTGATACTATTACGATCTAGCGTCTTAATGAGCTTACGGGACATTAATGGAGAAATTATGTGCTACGTTTGACTTGAAAAAGACATTATCCTCTGTTTTGTTTCAGAGCCTCTGAATGGTCATACTTACAGCCACTACCACTAACTAATTATATTTGTGATCAAGATAGTAAGGACAGAAAGTAAACAAGGTACAATACTTTATTGCTGCTCTAAAACAAAGCTAAAGAATTAGTCTTAGACGTTATTGCTTTAAAAAAAAAAGAAGAAGAAGACGTGTTTTATTTTTGTTTTCCTTTGTATTGAATATGTGGGTTGTGTACATTATTTTTGAGATTATCTTAAAGGTTAAGCATTTTATCAATGTGGGTAACGTATTTGTTGCCAAAATTTGGGGTTGTAGGGCAATTTTTTCTTTTTTCCTAACTAATGTGGATTGGTTATTAATTATAACTCTTCTTTTTTTTTTTTGTCTGCATGTCTCCATAATAATTGGAGTATGCAACACAAGTTGGTTTGCATTGGTTTGGCTACCCAGAGAAAAAGAACAACGTCGAGATTCCTCTTTGGGATGGGAACTTTTCTAAAGTAAAACAGCCAAAATTCATATCAGTATTATTCGGCAGTCTTGTAACAATGCAGCCGATAAAAATGGGGTTGAGAGTGGAGAGGCCGAATCAGGATCGACAAGAATATGACTAAGCAAAGCGATACAATCAACAATAAGCTGCTTAAGCAATAATGTGACGAATGGGTCGATTACATCAAGGCAACTGTTTCACTATAAAGCTGAAACAAAAAGGATAAGGAGATGGGAAGCACCATCAATATCAGTATCACATTTTAAAAAAATCTTTCATATCCAAGAATTCCAAACGAATGTGTTATAGGGCGGATTGCAAGCAATGTGGAAAATACTCTTAAGGTGGTTGTGGCAACCACCTGTCTACCCTCTATGCCAGCATAGATGAAGGAAAACGCTGCATGTGCCGATCATGGGCTAGCGTTGTCACCTCATCGACAAATAATGTGACAAACAACAACGTCAATCAACAACCAGCAACTGCAACTGCAACTCCAGATTCAGGTGTCAGTTTTTCTTTGATTTTTAAGTTTCTCTCATAGTTTTGATTGCTCTTAAGGAAGCACAACTACATATTGGGAAAATAAGTACTCTGTCATTTAAGGACTAACATGGTAAGATGAGGTTGAAAAACTGAACCTGGGACGATGCAAATTAGCGAGGGACAACGAAACAACAAAGCTGAGCTTAATATCTTCTTGTCAACTAAGTGGCAGTGTATTTTATTAGGATATGAATCTTTTATTCTAGTAAATAATTACTTGAGTTTCCTTTTGCAGGCAACCAGCAGTCTTCATAAGTGCTTTGGATGCTTGTCAGAGGGTATTGTTGTCTTAGAGCAATGGTGGGCTAATATACGAATAAATAAAGAAAAGAAAGAAAGAGAGAAAGAGAGGGAGGGGTTATTTTTAGAGTGATTATGTTATAAACAATGTACATAAATGTTTTGTTGACCAATCAGTCTTTCCAGGTGTATGGATTAATAAATTAAAAGATCAAAGTGTTGCTACCTTGTGCAGGGTGCCAGAAAATATTTGCTCTTAGCCCTAAACCCAACTAGTATCCATGGGGTTTTGGTTTTCTTTTCTTTCATGGTTTTTGTGCTCTCTTGTTTTCAAACCCCAAGTTGTTAATGTTCTGATGACTTCCAACTTCCAAGCAGCAGCATTAACATAGAAAGAGAGAGGGAAACAAAATTTGAGAAGAGATTTGAAATCTTAAGAGATTATATGATGATTTAAAGGTAGCATTGGATTTCTCTTGTAGTGGGCAGCATCTGTCACCTCAAATAAACAAGTATGTGAACCACATTAGAATTATTGATTTCATATTTCCAAGCAAAGTTGCAATTGTTCTGACCTTGTTAAAAAAATATTTGGCTATTTATGGTTCAGCCTTTTTATTGTCTTTTGATTCAAAGGAGCCAGTTCAATAGACACCCACAAAGTGCCCCAATGAATCTAGTACTACCCATCCTTCTTTTGTGCATATTGTCTAATTTGATGATTTTATCTATCTTCCAATTTTCATTCAGAGGCAATTATTATCAGAAGATTCAGCTTTGAACAAGCAAGGGTTCATATTCTCTTTTTCCACAGCCCTTGTTTTTGACATTATCACCACCATCTTAACCTAATTATTTGATCATTATATAAGTAGTTTAATAATTGAATGATTGTGATGTGACTCAATTCTTATACTATCATTGATCAATGATGCAACTAAGCGTCGAGGCCTTTGTTTTTTAACTTCTTTTCTCAAATGGCATGGTTTGCCTCGTTTTCTGCAATATCCAAAACTCTGGCTTTCACAATGTACCTTGAAGGACAGCTGCGTTGGTGTTTTTATATGCCTCCTTATAGGATGTTACCCACTACAAGAGCACATCCGAGCCTCGGTTGGATTCCAGAATTCCTTGATTCAGGGCCATCCAATATCAATCACTGTCGGCATTATCCTTCTGTTAGTCTACCCCATCTGGTCAATCACTGGTGCTTTACTTTGCCTAGCCACAGTGCTGCATTGTTCCGATGTTGGGCTTGGGTCTTTGCTGGATCAGGGCCAGAAATGAACCCAACAAATGATAGTCTGGTAAATTTTATAAATGTGGAGGGTAACGATTCAAGCAACAAAATAAAAACCCTAACCCTAAATCACTTTTCGCCTATAAAAGAAAGACAGAAGAGAAGAGCTTCTATCCCGATTTTCGCTTTGGTGTCGTTTCAAAATCCCATGAAGCTGCAAAAAAAGCTTTTTTATTTCTATTTACCTCCATCGCTTCCTCTTTACTGTTTAAATTATTTTCTTTGTTTCTATCAAGCGGGGTTTTTCTCGTTTTCTTTGACTTGATGAATAATCAATGGTGGGTAATGAGGGATTTCTCTGTGATGATCGAAAACGATGACGAGTCCGATTCTTTTCCATTCTTTCAAATCGTGACGACAAATCGAGGCATTTGTCTGAGAGAAATCCATCTTCCTTCTTTATTTTTGGTATTTAAAAATAAAAAATCATTTTTTATTTGTAAATTGAAAGTGCTCGAAGGCATAATGAGGATAAATTTATGAACCATTCTGATTATTGTGATGATCAATTACCTCCTACTCATTCTGAATGCCTACAAAAATATAGAATTGTCCTTTCCAATGTTTTTTATTTTGATTATTGAAGTAAATGTTTTGGGGAAGATTTTTGTAAGAAAACGCAACTAAGATTTTGGTTTAGGGTTAATGAGGATTACCTGTGATTTACCTTTCAACCAACTCAGGGCTGAATTTGATATAATCTGATCCAAAAGATTTGAATTTGAGATGAATTTTATGTTTTTGGAGCAGCGATGATTAAATCAAGTTTAGGGTTAATGAGGGTTTACCTTTGATTAATAATAAATAAATTTCAAGCACTTCTGAGCTGCTCTCTCTCCTCATTGAAAACAAAATATTTTTGAAAATTAATAAATCAGAAGAATTTTATGTTTTTTGGATGTGGATTTTGGGAAGAGGAATTATTCTTACTTTGCGTGATTGATAAAATTTGTTAAACCAAATCAATTAGAAATATTTTCATTGATATAAGTTTCTGTAATATATTTGTCAATAAGGCCTATTAGCTCAGTTGGTTAGAGCGTCGTGCTAATAACGCGAAGGTCGCAGGTTCGAGACCTGCATGGGCCATGATTTAAATTTTTCCAATTTTAAAACTGTAACGGCCTTTATATCCTTCAGTTTAAGTTGGGCTTGGAAAGTTTCAATTTCAAACTGGAACTGCCTTCAAATCCTTCAGTTTAAGTAGGCCTGGAAAGTAAATGGAATTGTCTATATTTGGGCTTTGAACTTTTTCCATTTTAGATTGCTCTTCAGGTCCATTAAAAGCCCAGCAAATTCAAGGTCTAGTTTGGATTACCTCTTAAAGGTATCCGGTGGAGCAAGGACGAAAGAAAGCAACTTTTGTATGGGCTGAGCAAAACATTTAAATCCAAGGCCTAAGAATCCCAACTTGCTCCACATCATCATCCACTCTGACAATCAGTATCTTTGTCCCATTTGACAAAATCGCCATGTGGCATACCCTAAATCCAGAGACATTACCTTCATTCCACCAATAGCAACACCCCTTATCCTAATTCCTATCCCCTTATCTTGCACCAACGCCACCAAAATAATTGCCATAAAATTTCCCCACTCCCCTCTTGTCTCAGTAAAACAACACTCCTCTTTGGAGGTTCCAAGTTTCCTGACACAAACACAGATAGGAAGTGAAGGAACAAAGGGTTTCAACCATGGCAGCCTCACTACAAGCAGCAGCAACCCTCATGCAACCAACAAAGTTTGGTGTGCCATCTAGGACCAGCGTGCAACTCAGGTCTTCCCATAGCGTTTCTAAGGCCTTTGGTTTGGAGCCTGTTGGTGCTAGGCTGACTTGCTCTTTGCAAACTGACCTTAAGGAATTGGCTCAAAAGTGTGTAGATGCTACCAAGTTAGCTGGTTTTGCTCTTGCTACATCTGCTCTTGTTGTCTCGGTATAGTTTGTTTTTCTTGATTTCATTTCTGTTTTCGGGTGGTTTGATTGTTTAGTTAGCAAAGCATTTTGTGGGACTAAGCTCAATTATCACCTCAGAGGCTCAGACTAAGTTCAGTTATCTATATTGTTTGTTTAGTGTCCCCTTCTGATTATTAGGGTTTGGTAGTTTACGTAGGACCTTAGGAGAAGAGCCCACTTCTTTGAAAATATTGAGCTTGTTATCGGCTGATGGTTATCGTAACTACAGTTAGTTTGAACCCTTTATTTTTTTAAATTGAGCAAATGAAATAAGGTGATCTGTGATGTAGAAAACAGTATCTAGTATTACTATATGCATGTTGGTTCTTAATTCAATGAAAACTAGTCAAATATTGCTCTACCTCCTGGACTAATTGAAGCTGATCTGTTTCGCATTCACCTTGTTGGACCATTTCCATTCTAATTTCAATTTTGATAAGAAAGAGCTTATTAGACTATGATCTGAACATTATGTAACAATAACTCGTTTCTTTTAAAGGGAGCAAGCGCTGAAGGAGTTCCAAAGAGACTAACTTATGATGAAATCCAGAGCAAGACCTACATGGAAGTAAAGGGAACAGGAACTGCTAACCAGTGCCCAACCATTGATGGTGGTGTTGACTCATTTGCCTTCAAGCCTGGCAAATACTACGCCAAGAAGTTCTGCTTAGAGCCCACTTCCTTCACTGTCAAGGCTGAAGGTGTTAGCAAGAATGCCCCTCCAGAGTTCCAAGAAACCAAGCTCATGACCCGTTTAACATACACCCTTGATGAAATCGAGGGACCTTTTGAAGTATCTACTAATGACACAGTCAAATTTGAGGAGAAAGATGGAATTGATTATGCTGCTGTGACAGTTCAGCTTCCTGGTGGCGAGCGTGTGCCATTCCTTTTCACCATCAAGCAATTGGTGGCATCAGGAAAGCCTGAGAGCTTTGGAGGAGCCTTCCTTGTGCCATCCTACCGTGGTTCATCTTTCTTGGACCCAAAAGGAAGGGGTGGTTCAACCGGTTATGACAATGCAGTTGCCTTGCCTGCTGGAGGAAGAGGAGATGAGGAAGAGCTAGCTAAGGAGAACATCAAGAATGCTGCATCTTCATCAGGGAAAATCACCTTGAGTGTTACCAAGAGCAAGCCTGAGACCGGAGAAGTAATTGGTGTGTTTGAGAGCTTTCAGCCATCTGACACTGACTTGGGTGCCAAGACTCCAAAGGATGTGAAGATCACTGGTATCTGGTATGCTCAGCTTGAGTCATAGAGAGGTCTTGTATGAATGTGTTTATCCTTGGTTGAGATTTTGTAATTTGAAGGTGATGATAAACTTTGCTGTAATCCAATGAGAAGCACTGAGATTATTATCTTCTTTGTAAATGACTATGTTGGCTTCTTACAATAATTTTCAAAGTTCCTACTTCTGAAGGTTCCTTAGCAGACTCTTAACTCCCTGCTTGTACCAGAAGTGGTTACTTAACAAATTACCAAAAAACGCAAACAGAAGTTAGGGCCATTCAATTTAAACCCGAGAAGCTTTTTGCTGAAAGAAATGGCCATTTCATATTAGTTTTTGATTACCCCCTGAAGCAATACGTAAATTGTGAATCTTGGATGTTAGAATAGTGGAACTGGTTGATCTTTTGGACTCGAACTTGCTGTCCTTTCTTGTGCCAATCATTGTGCTATAAAAAAAAAAAAAAGTCCTGATTTCAGTAATGCAACTTTAAGTGGAGTAATAAAATAATAGCATTAGCAGCCACTTTTTACATCTGGATCTGAATAATTGAGCCATTCACAGTCTAGGATAATACCACCCGCGACCTAGATCTACATATTTTTCCTCAAGTTTATTGCTTTCGGCCAATATTTAAGATTGAAGTGTTGAAAGAGTGATGACAGGTCACAACCAGGTTTCTAGCCTCTGTCATTCTCATCCAACTCTTAAACAATAAAGAACATGGGCTTAGAAATGATTGAGTCATGAAAAAGTCAGATTCATTTCATTGTTTTAGCTGTTCCAACAAGAAGTACAGATCAATCTACTGTATAGAATAAGGTATACGTAAATAGTATAGTGTTAAATTAGAGATATGAATAATAAATAAAATAAAGCGCATCAAAAGGAATTGGTTCTCTGTTAAATACCCTTTTGTGGAGTTGAGATCAAATTTGTATGGTTCAAATCAACTCAACTTGTCAAATCAAATTGTAGAATTTGACTTAAACATTAAATACTAAATTTTAATGAAAAACGTTAAACTCAAATTTGAAGACATAAATCTTCATTACATGATTTTCCTCACATAAATGAGCTTGCGTTTAACATTGTTTCAACTTTGGGGAAAGCTACAAGAAAACAAATTTAACGAGACATTTTTACATGAGATAGGAGAAAAATGAATATGATAAGGATGGGACATGAAAATTACGTCAAAGAGTGGGTAGCGGAAAACCCCGGAAATCCACGTTCGAGAATCAAAATGGAGAAACCATTTGGCGAAAAGACTCTCGCCAAATGTACGAATGAAGAGAGAAGAAAGAATTGACCATAAAAACCATTAGAAAAACTTGGCTTTCTCCATGAATCAGCGTTACCATTACGTCCTTATCCTCTCTTTTCTCCTGTCTCTTCCGATTTCTTCTTCATAGGAAACAAAAACCAAAGCCAAAGGTTATATACCTTTCAGAATTTTCTACATTCAGCGTTTCTCTTCAAGCCTGTTTCCATTTTCTTTGGACTCTGTTTTTTATTGGGGTTTTTCTCCTTTTTTTTTTTGTTTTTTGGGAAATTAGAGATGAAGAAACAGAGAGATGTTAGATGACATGAAGGATGATGGAGCAAGTGCCAGGGGCGTTGGGAACAAGCGCTAGCTTGGCTCTTCGTTTGGGACAAACCATTTTCTGCTCTGCGTCACTTCTCTTCATGTGTTTGGATGTTGAATTCTATAGCTACACTTCTTTCAGGTAACTCCCACAGTTTAAAATTTTGGTTTTTCTTTTTCTCTCTTTAGCTTTAATCTTCAATACTCATGTCTTTATTTCTGATATTTTATTGGAATTTAATCCATTGTCAGCTTTTAATACACTCATCTTCATTTAATATTGACTTCATAGCTGATTTCTGGTATCAATTTGGAAGCCTCAGGGGAAAACTACCGTAATCATGATCATAATCAATCTAGTAGACTATTTTGTTTAGGAAATAGGTTGATGTTAAGCAATCTTTAATCCATGTAAAATACCAGCTTTACCTACGTTGGGGAGAGCAAAGTTCTGATTCCTAGTGGTATCTTGGAAATTGTTTGAAAGGAAAGCCTTTTTAGGGGGTTTTGATAGAAAATAGATGAGGTGAAAATTTTGATAAATATAAAAGGATTTGAGGTTCAAAAAGAGTATTGGATTTTTTTGTATATTCATATGGTTTCAGCAGTTTGAGTACAATGGTGAGACATGCTTCATCTTAATCGTAAGAGTGTTGCTTATAGATATGACTGCAGAGAAAGGTGCCATTAATGACTGGAAGGGGAAAATTGTTGATAGAACTGATCAAACATTTCTTTTCTTTTCCATTTTGGTTGAGGAAGCAAAGGGATGAGACAAATGAACCAAATGAATTGTGTGCAATTTCTTTTTTGTTTTGGGTGCTGGGCCTGGGATATGCAAATATCAGATGCTTTCCACTGGTCAAACTATCAGGCTTTAGTGAGGATTATAATGTGTAGTTGATTGTGACTTTATGAAACTTGAAGTATTAATAATTAGAGTTATTAAAACCATTATGTTTACCCAAGGTACATGACCTGTTTCTTTTCTAGTTGTTGAACTTGACCGAAGAGGAAAACTTATTTGCTGATGAATTTTGTTCTTTAAGACTGGGTGTGGTTGTCATGGAGTTTTTCTTATTTTCATTGGGTTCAGAGTGAATTGTTTGTTACTTCTCCTTTCTCTATTGGAATTTCTAACTAGGTGAGTTGAAATACAAAAATGATTGCCGAATTTGTAGTTCTGTGTCTGTATAATATGTACTATGTCGAAGGTATTTACACATGAAAAAGTCGCTAATTTAAGCTATTTACAATATGAACAAGTCACAAAAATGGCTGGAGTCAAGGAGCTCATCAAGAGCTAAATATCAAGGAGAATCAAGCCTGGTATCAAGGGGAATCAGGATAGTCAACAAGGACGATTGTAAAAGTTGTTACCAGGACTCTTTATGGATTTGACATGTTTTAGTGTTTATACTCTATTCCTTGGCTCGGGGTCCTTGTGTTTTGCATGTTTCTAGATAGATGAAACTAGATAATGAGGCACTGTCCATCTTTGTTATCTAACTTTTGTAGATAGGCACAACTCACACAGATCGATCTTAAGATGAGGACTATAACTACTTTATATGGAGATTTTTGCACGTTAGAAAGATTGTTGTTCCAAGCTTCTCATTTCCAATTGTTTGCTAGGTTTGCTGTGTGCTTAGGACATAGGATCAAAAGTACCAATTTCTTATGACTTATCATAGTAAACCAATGGTTACTGCAGGAATATGGCATGTTCTCTTATCTGTTGCAATTTCAAAGCCTTTGCACTACTAACCAAAGCTGAATAGTAAAGAATAGCCATGATTAAAATCTTCTTGTTGTCTCAACTTGCCTGGCCTATGATGTGTTTGATTAATTGCAGGGTAGAAACTACAATGCTGGATTGCTAATTAGATGTAATTAGAATTACCTCCCTATTTTCCTTGAACCTTTTGCAGCTACTTGGTGACAGTCATGGGTTTAGTAACTCCATGGAGCATGTCATTAGCATTGATTGATGCATATTCCGTGTTTATTAATTGCTTACCACGACAACCAAGGGTTCTGCTGATCGTCGTCGTGGGAGACTGGGTATGTAACACATGTTTTTGCTGATCATCACCATCATATTATCCTTCATCACTACTTGATGGAAAATTTTGTGTTTTATCTGGTTGCAGACCTTGTCATTTCTCTCGCTGGCTGCGGCCTGCTCAAGTGCTAGTGTTGCAAGTCTCTTGGTCAATGCTGGCAACTCATATTGCCCAACAAAGTTATGTAGTAGATATCAGTTGTCTGCGGCTATGGCTTTCTTGTCCTGGTTCCTTTCCTTTGCTTCAACTCTCTTCAATCTTTGGCTCCTTCCTTCTTTGTAGCGTCTCAGCTACTTCCAACCCATTTTTCATACACAAAAACTTAGTAGGCAAATCTTGACAGTTTGATACTCAAATTAAGATTGTACAATGACAGTATTATATACAAACAACAAAATCTTCAAGGATCAAATTGAATTTCAATGATTTTGAATCAAGTTTAGTTGCCAATTCAGGCTTTATTGGCCTACCATTATCTGAGTAATACAATTTCAAACAGCTACCACCGAGACCATATTCCAATATTAGCCCATAAGAGGATGAGAATTGAGCAACATTAAGGACTGCATCCATTGGGCCTAATCAAGCCCAAAGTTATGTCTCTTTTAGGAAATTGTCTGCTTTTTCCTTTTAAAAACATAAGAACATGGAGCTTCCTGAAACAGAGATGATAAGAACAAGGAAAAACATGAATCAGAGTGAAATTCCTTCCTTTTTTTTTTTTTGTTGCTGCTTTTAAACTTTGTTCAATTGATGTGTTAATGCACTGTTTTTAAGCAGTATACATGAACCCTAGTATTTAATATATGGTCCAAAACAGATTTGATTTGCTTTGGACATAAATGTGACAGCCATGGAAACTTCCACTTGAAGGCAATCCAATTTATATACTTATAAGTACCAATTTAGAATACTGTTTTCTTCATTGCAAAGTTTATATTATTTTTTAGATGATTGTGAGTATCACAATTAATTTAGACCAAGATATCAAGCAAAACATATGAATCTAAAACATAAAACAAAAAAGTTCCAAGTTTTCTTTTTTTTTTTTTTTTTTGGATAAAGTATGATATAAATGCTCTTAGCATTGCCCTTTTTTTTTACATTCTTCCATCATACTCAATATTAAATTCATTCAAGAACTGCTTATAATTTTGATTAATACCAATGATTTGATTTGTTGAATATATCATATGCATGTGACGGCTGATTTGAGAGAGAGGAATTAATTCAAAAGTCTTTTTTATATATATATAAAAAGAGCTCAATTTGAAATAGAAGAATGAATAGTAGGTAATCGAATTTGAACTTCAAATTTATTAGATGTTGTCTTTTTAAATATGATTGAATGAATTAATTGAATTAAATTTTAAATTTCATGAAAGAACTTTCATGAAAATGACAATGGCTAAGTTTATTTTATATTATTGATTCAATGATTGAATCAAAGATACCAAAGAGAATTGATTCAATGATTTGTTCTAATTAGTCTATTTAGCTGAAATTTATTTAGATTAAGTTGCTTAGTGGGATGTTAAGTTTAGGCCATTTTAATTATGAGTGAGATGTGTTTATGCCGGTTGGTGGGGTTAAATTTCTTTTTCAACTATGTTTTGTTCCAAATCCAATGGATTAATCCAAAACATATCTACCAAAATGTCACATTAAAAAAGGGATATGCCAAAGATTAATTCAATTCTTGTACATAAAAAGCCTTATTTGCATACTTTTTAATCATATACTTCAATCTCTGCATGTTTATACTCACCAAAATTCAATTAAGTTAATTTCTACATTTTAATATAGTTTGGATACACTTTTTAAAAAAAAATTCAAAGTTTTAGAGAAAAAAATTTGCAAGTTAGATAGTATTTAAATTTTACTTTTTGGATGTCATTTTTTTAAAATAATTGCACGATCAATTGAAATAAATTTTGGAGTATAATTTTCATTTTTTTTTATCTGCTTAAAGTTTAGACTCGCACATTAGCTAACAAATAAATAATGAACCAAATAAATAAAAATTAAAGATAAAATTAAAAAATCCCATACAAATAATTTAACTTATTGGCAACACCTTTAGTTCATGTAATATATATTAAATTCATCATTCTGAAGCCAAAAAAATTTATTATCTACATAATCTTGAGTACTAGTACGGATTAGACAGGATATCAACCAAAACATGAATCTATTACATAAAACAAACGTTCCTTATTGGTGTATGGTATAAATGCATTGTTCATTGTTATTTAATTTAAAAAAAAAAAAAAAAAAGAAAGATCCTTGGGCATACAATGAACCTGTTCATGGAGTCATCCCTTGTAATTTTAAATAAATACCCAATAATTTGATTTTGTAGGAGAGAGAGTTGATGTTGAAGCATGATCTGAGATTTTGACCATGGAAGATCAGTCCCCTTAAGGGCCCACCAAATGAGCATGACAACCTTACATTAGCAGAAAAAAAAAAAAAAAAAATCTTCAAGTTCTGGACAAGGGAGGAACTTTCATGGCAGCGCCGATGGCGACCTTTTCAATGATGCCATGATTGAACCAATGATACTAACCGATAAAAGCTGACCCGCACTGAAATCCCATTCAAAAATCCATATGATCTAGGTGAAATTAAATTAATATTAGATTTTATTTTAGTGTTTTTAAACTTAATAATTTTAAATAAAAAATAAAAAAATAGATATAATTTAAAATTTTAATAAAATTTTATATAAATTTGATGAAAATAAAAATATATGTTTCATATTTCATATGTTAACACGAATTGTAATATGATGATTTTTTTTATTTTATATATATTTAATATAAAATAAATATAATATGAATATATAAATTTTTAGATCTAGATGTTTTAGACCACATTATTATTAGACTGTAATGTGTTTACGCCGGTTGGTGGGGTTTTATTTCTTCTTAGCCAACTATTTTTTTACTCATATCATCCAATGGATTAAGCAAAAACATGTCTAAAACAATGTCATAGATCAAATCCTTGTCGATTATTAAATATTATCATTGACATTGTCTTTATTTGTGGAAGCTTCAAGCATGATCTCTCGAAAGTAGTTATTTTGATGGCTCATCAAAAAAAGTTTTAACTAAGCGGAAAATTTGATTTAGCCAAAATCTTTATACTTACCCATGTTGGGCTAGCTAACTAATCTCAAATCTAAATGTAATTTATTATTTTAAGATTTCAAACCAATATGTTGATTAGGCATCTTAATGTTAGCCTAATTCATAGAGATTCATATATTGGATGCAAATTCTTCGTATTAAAATAATTGAGACTAATGTTAACTTATGAGCTTTATTAAAAGTCATGAGAAAATATTCAGAGTACTTGGTTTAGTTGATTGATGCATAATTTTTTGTGTAAAAAAAAAATTCTTTTTTTTTGTTAAAAAAAATGGAAGAAATTAAAGAAAAATAAAAGAAATAACTAAGAAAGGAGGGATGGGGTTGCTTTGATGAAAGTCAAAAAAGGGCATATGAGGTTCATCCAATAAAACAAAGAAACGAATGTAGTTTAATGGAGAGGAGATTAAAGAAATGAAAAGCAATCGTGTGAGGCCTTTTTGTGAAGAGAGACTTTCATTCCATGATTGGGTTTCTTTTCTACTAGCTAGGATGAGTGTTTTCGGTGGATGGAGGAATGGGGGAGAAAAGGAGCCCCATGAAGCTTCATAGAAAGGATTGCAGTGGGACATATATATGTTCATTCCTCAATTATTAATATTCCTTGGTTTAATAAATAGATTGAAAAAGCAATAAGGGATCTTACTAACTTGAACTTGGATTACAAATATCAGTCAATGAGCATGGTTGGCACTTAAATTTACTCAGGGTAGAGTTTAAAAATAAAATTGTCTCAATGGAACAATTGAAATCATGCATTATATCATTATGGTAAAACCAAAACAAAATGTCAAATTTGATCTAATTGTTATGATATCCTTGTTTAAGCAGGATAAATTCAAAGCTTGAAATCTTTCTTTCCCTTTTAGACCAAATGAAGAAAGGACAAGTTGACAATGGCATAAATTTCATGACCAAGTGGTGAATTTATGCTCATTATAGCCTGTTGTATCCAATAGAACTCAAGTTTTTACTAACAGAAGTCATCCAACTCGTAAAAACATGGAATTTTACCTACTGGCATTAATCAATTCTAAGACTGAAAAGCTCTCTACTAGTCAGGTCATCTCACCCCATCACTCGTGCACATGTAAACGATACAGCCTAAAGCTAATTGAAAATCCTGACATTGTCCACGCTGCATTTTAACCCAAAAAAAAAATAGCTGCTTAAATCGCAAGATAAGGTAAAGGCCTAAAGGGCGCAAACAAAAAATTAAAATAAAATAAGGGACAGCGGGAAACAGGGACATGACATTGTTAGGGGTAAGGGGGGCTTAGGGTTGAACACAACCAGCAGCAACAGAACCAGATCAGCTTACGCCATCTCTTGTCGGATTGTTGGGGTTTGCTCTTTCCGAGGCCTTTCTGTTCCACATGTCTTTTCTCTTGCCTTGCATATTTGCATCCCCTAGCCCCCTTGGGAGGATTCTGTATTGCCACGTTTCTCTGTTCTTCTTTCCCTCTACTTCTCCAAATACCCTTCCTTTTCAGTATAACTACGTTTCTGTCACCTTACTACCACCAGCCACCCAATTTTCTCACGCCCGCAGTATTTCTCTAGGCTAAATCTCTCTAGAAAGCCAACTATGTTACAGTTTGATCCCATTAACAATTGAGAATTCCAACTTTATTAGTGCTAGCTTTTTAATGGTATGAGTTGAAGGAAGAAAAGAAGTAAGAACTTGAAGAGGAGTTTCTTGTTTCGGTTACCACTTACCATGACAGTAAGTTTTTTCACTTGCTCCAAATCGAACCCTCTGTTTAACATTTTTCATGTCAGTTAGCCATAAATGGAAGGTGCAACATTCAAGGGAGTTGGTATTAGGGATCAATTCCATTAAAAAGGGGGGAGGGGGTGGGCTTCTTTCTACTTCCACAGATCTTCACGTGATGAAACCCTGGCCTTTAGCCTTGATCGGGTACTTACAACAATGTACATCATCTCATTTCCACCATATCTCAATTCTCAATTCCTTTAAATCAGCAGTAAACGACATAGCTACATGAAGATAGCCCCTTACAGAAATTATTCACAAATATATAATATATCACATCTTTTAATGAAAAATGCTCTGCATATTTCGAGTTTCATTTAAATGTATAAAAATTAATAAAAATTGGTCGGGTTGATAAAGATTAAGTGATTGTAAAATTTAAATTTGGTTTCAATTTCAATAAACTTTTTATGAATAATTTATAAATTTAATTTAAAATTTTGCAAATATTCTAGTTCTGAAATAGAATAATTTCTTCACCTAAATTTTTAATAAAAAAATAAAGATTTAAGAATCATCAATTATAATTAAAGTTTAAATTAAGTAATGGTTATCATCCATCCTTTAAAAGGTTGAAATTCCATATCTAAACCTTTCCTTTTTCTATCTAATCTTTCTTCAATGTACGAAAGGAATATAAATCTTTTTATTTCAAGTTAGCGAGTACTGAAAGTGTGAAAAGAAAAACTCTCTCATAATCAAGGTTCAATTCATCAACAATAAGAAATCAAGATCCAAAGTATGACTTACTTGATTAAAAAGACTTTAATAGTACTAGATAATCTATATTAAAGATCCCCAGTAATAAAACATTAATGAAAAAATCTTAAAATCTTAAGTAAGAATCAAAACACAAATTTCCTCTAAAAAGGATTCTCGGCTGAAATGCCTCTTCATAACATGAAACAAACCCAATTTCACTACATGATATAAAATAGTGCAGTATTAACATAAACAAAAAACGTGTTAGCATTTACATATGATTTATGTGGAAAATATTGTAATGAAAATTGGTAGTACTATTTGGTGAGATGGAATGAGATCCACAGTGAAAAATGGGGAAAAGCAAGAGAAAGAGAGAAAGCCCAATAGTCCCTGTCAGCGTAATATCATCTTGAAACGAGGGTTGATGTGTTAAGGACACTGATCCTCAGCACTTGTACAACCTGTCACCAGCAACTTACAGGCTGGCAACCCTACGGTTCCCATAAAAATGCCTATTACCACATCACGACGAAATCCAATGTGGCAACCGGGTCCAAAATCCAAGGCTTCCCTTGTTTTTCGCCTCTATATAAACTCGCCCTCACCCACCTTCCTCTCCCCCCTTCATCAGCAGATTCCAGCTCATTCAAACTCAAAAACAACTGAGTTGAGTTCAAAAAATACAACATCAACATTAAAATCTACGAATCTGAAAATGGGTATTTGTAGTTCTTGCGATTCGACTCATGTAGCAACAGCCAAGTTGATTCTCCAAGATGGAAGATTACAAGAGTTTCCTTACCCGGTTAAGGTTTCTTATGTTTTACAAAGTAATCCCATGTGCTTTATCTGCAATTCTGATGAAATGGACTTCGACGATGCCGTATCAGCTATTGAAGAAGATGAGGAGCTTCAACCTGGTCAACTTTACTTTGCTTTGCCATTGAGTTGGCTTAAACATCCTTTACAAGCTGAAGAAATGGCTGCATTGGCTGTTAAAGCTAGCTCTGCTTTAATGAAAAGTAGTGGGGGTGAAAAATGTGGGTGCAGACGTAAAACGTTTACTCCTTTTGCGTTTTCAGAAGAGCCTCCTAGCCGGAAAGTTGCCTCCGCCGTCGGTGGAGGCGGTGGTGAGAAGAGCGGGAGAGGTAGGAGGAAGTTTGAGGCTATATTGAGCGCTATTCCTGAATAGAGGGGTTATTTTGGGAAATGAAGAGTGGTATATTTGTAAATATGTGATGATATTGAGGACTTCTTAGTCAAATCATTGGTAGAAATGGGAGGTGGTTGACCGTCATTCTGGATGTGTCGATGTGGTTAGCTTCAAGTTTAGAATTCTATTATTCTAGTCTCCCTTTACATTGTCCGATTGCCCATGTGAGGGTCGTGTTACGATTTTACCCCTGTTTGGGTCAAAAATGAATTTCAATATTCAATCATATATATATATATATATATATATATATATCTCTTTTGCTTTATTTAATTCTAAATGTTTAGTAACAAACAAACAAACCTTGAATTGTTGCGTACGTTACTCTCCGCCAAAAATAACTAAAAATGAAAACGAGATTGCCAATAATAAAATACAATTTGGTTAAACCATAAAAGGGAATATCCTCTTTTTCTTTACATGTAGAGATCAACCAAAATGTAACTCTAATTTCATAGATCTCAATCTTCTATTCCAAAAAATTTGTAGTAAGATAAACAAGCTTTAAACCGAATGTCTAACCATCTATTTATCTTTCTATCTCTAATTAGGTTTAATTTTACAAAAATCCATGTGTTGTTTAAAAAACTTGAACTTTTTTTTTTCATAGATAAAGCCCATCATTTGTTAAAATTATGCAATTTAAATTTAATACTTAAATAATTTATTCACCTTCTTTAAAGAGGTAAATTCTTGTAAAATCGGGATTTGATATTCAACGTTTGTAATTTTCTTTTCCTAATTTTCCAAAATTGTGGCTTTCCTCATGAAAGAATCATGACAATTTTAGTAAGTGTGAAATACTAGAAATTTGTGGGCCGAAGAATAGAAGGGAAATTAAATGGATGACAAATTAGTAACATGGGTTGTGAATGGGATGTGGGCAAGTTAATGTGCAGAAGGCATTGTACACGGAAACAGGAAGGAGACAAGGGAATGGGGAGATTGGCAGCAAATGCCTAATGCTGGAGGCTAAACAATGCGTTTCACGCTTTAAACAGCTTATATCCTTCCTTGCTTCGTGTTTATGATCGATGGATTGAGTATTTTAGGGATGATTCTTTACAGCTGTTTAGAGATGCATAATTATAAAAGCAACAATAACAACAATAATGATAACAGCCAAAAAAAATACTCATTATATTATTACCTCAGCATTGTTCTAACGGGGAACTTGAGATTCACTCTGCTCAAGCTGACAAATGCTTGCCAAATGTTCTTTCGAGTTTGTGGCATTGTGCAAAGCTTGGAAAATTTTGTCATGTTGGTAATGAATAAAATGAAATAGAATAGAAGAGATGGGTGAGAATTTGTCCCAAAGTTTGAAATTTTCAGATTGATGATGATGATGATGATGATGATGATGATGATGATGGTGAAAACGACCCATGATTCTCCAAATTTTTACCTGGGGAAACTTATATTTGGCCATAGCTTGGACCACATTGGTTGGTTTCGGATAGGAAAGAAGTCACAACTCACAGATAAGTATACGAGGCTAGGATATGGGATCTATTTGTATTTAAATTCAAAAGTAAATGTCAAATACAAATATATATTAAACATGATAAAAAAATATAAATATGTATTAGACACGGGATTTAATTTTTTTTAGAACTTTTTTTATATTTGGAAGATGGTGTGTTTATTTATGTTCATCAGATATGTATCGGATGTTAATATTTAGTAAAAGATAAGAGATGAAGCTACATAAAATGAGATAACAAATTAGATCATATTGCTTGTGAGCGTGCTTAAGTTTAGACAGCTACTGAACTTGAAAACTCCAATCTAGGCACTTAACAAGCTTTATCAACATGTACGTGCGCAACAGAAAAAATATAATTAAGAAGGGCTAAGTAACATATTTACTATTCAAAAATAGTATTTGCATTGAATGTATATATTGATCTTATGACATTAAACATTACCTTCAAAGTGCAAAGAGAATGAATGTTCATCTTAGTTAATGTTACCTCAAATTGACATAAAGTTAAGAGTTGTTGTACAAATAATAAAATTTAGTCCAATTCCATTGTTCTTGCACTGTTGTTTAACCAATTGTTGTTCCTAGTCAGTAAAGTGTAATGATTAGAATTTTAGGTTTGTATGCATTAATTTTTATGAGTTGATATCAATAACTTTAAGATTTAAATCTTAACATTATTTGTTAATAGGAATTAACAGAAGTGATTAAGGTTTAAAATTTAGATGTAAAGTACTTAAGTTTGAACCCTCACAATCTTTATTGGTAAATAATCTGTAAATTCAAAAAATCTCAAAATTTTCATAAATCTTTTTATAGATTGATGATTTGCGCTCATCTTGAAAATAAATAACCTCTCTTGCTCTTATTTTCGTTTATTTTCAAATTATGGTTTTTTTTTTTTTTTATAAAACAATAGTAATGATTATTATTTAGAGTACAATTAACTTTTTCTAAGCAAGCCTTGTTCAAAATTAATCTTCATCAGAGATAAGGAACAACGAAAAATGCTAACAATAAATGATAGCAGTGGTTGGTTCTGTTACAGTGTGATAGTAATTAGCCTTTTGATTTCATTGTTCCAACTTCTCTTTCAAACTTTTGGAGATATATCTGTAAACCTATCTGCTGGTTGAAATGGGGCAGAAGCTTTTTATTTCTACGCGGTTGTAACCACATCAGCATCATCATCATCATCAGTTTCAGCTGCCTAGCTGGGTACCTTTTCAATTAATCAGTCTAAAGATTTCCACCTTCCAAGAGAAATTTACTCAAATACATCTACTTTCAATGAAATTTTAGAAACGAAAAAGATGGTGTCATCAAATATAACAAACAATTGGCTCGAACACTTGAGAATATATATGAGCCAATGGGGATTCAAGTAAGTTGAAAAGTCTAACCATTGTACACCAAAGATTAGGTCTGGCTTGGCCTGCCAGCTATAATTAAAGTCTCAATAGCAAACCAATCAAATTGCAAAGATTCATTAATGAAGAATTATTGTTGATAACCCACATTTTGGATTCAAACATTAATAAGTCAAGCTAACTCATTAATTGGAGACAGCTTGGAAGAATCCAATGCATAGTAAATCAGGGTGAAGAAAAAGAAGAATTAAAGTTAACTAAACAAAGGAAAAGATTGTTAAAAAAAAAAAAAAACAAAGGAAAAGAAATGATGGAGGAACAATAAGTAACGTTTGGTTGCTTACTTAGAAAATTACCATGCACGTGATGAACAAGTGGGATAAAAAATGCTCACGTTTTGAAATAAGAACTGGTTGCTCTTATTGGCGGGACCATGGGCCATGGCCAACAAACACCCAAAGCTACCATCATTTCATGCAAGTTGGTGGTCCTTAGCTTCTCGTGAGTTGTTCCAGTTAAGGTGGGATTGCATAGTGTACATCGAATTATTTTTCAATTAGGCTAGTTGGAAATATATATATATATATATATATATATAGTGCCACCCAATTTCTGTCATACATGCTTTAATTCATTTGGAAAATTCAGCTTTAAAACGAAGAAGGAAAACAAACATTATGAGATCAAACGGTACTACTCTTGTCTTTTAATTTCTCTCACCAATGTATGGCCTGTCGTGAATTGCGATGGTTGTACTATATCTTAAAAACCAATGTCAAAAACAGGGTGTATTTGGTAGTTGAAAAAAAAAAAAGGGAAAGAATGGTCTAAGCATTTCACATTGAAAAAGTACATTGGCATAAGTCTTTAGCTTTGTAATTTAATTAGAACTAATTCATTTGAAATATGCAAGTTTAATTCAGGGTCTATAGGTGGTAGATAGTAGATAAATTGTGACCAGCCGGCTTGAATTTGAGGCTATGAATTGCTCAATTGTCAATGTATGCAATAATTTGTGTTCTTGAAGGAAAGGTACAAATTTATTTTTTTTTTTTTATAAAGACATGCCAAAACTTAAATGAGATGAGAACTGAGAATTGCAAGCATTGAAAATTAAATTTCAATCTTTTAAAAATTTATTTTTTAAAAAAATTCTGATGAATTATTTGGATTAAGTTTTAAATTGAAAGATATAATTACCTTTATACAACTTTGTTAGCAGCTGGTTAGGAACTCCTGGACATATACCTCACACACTTTTGCTATTCACCACTATTTTTTATGTTACTCTATGCCCTTATTTGAGTAAAAACAGGTAAAGGAAGATTGCAACCCTCAATACTTTGATTGCAAATGTTAGTAAAAGAGTTGAATGCCATATCCTTTTCAATTGTGGAATGCAGCTTATATTGGACCGATTAGTAGGTAAGCTCCAATCTCCATATCAAACTCCAAGCATTGGCCCCCACTAGCTTTGTTTCTCCTCGTGTGCAATTGCTATAATATTCATGGCTTCAACTACCTTGATAGCAGAGCCCTATTGGATTTGGATCCAGCTGTTTCTTAAATTCCAACTTGTCTTTCCCTCACTTTCTTCGTTTTTTCTTTAATTGGTTGAATTTGAATTAAGATTTTGAATTCAATGTATGTTTAGAGGTCATAGTTTGAAAGAAAAATATATAAAAGAATATTAATATTTGTTGATTCAATGATAAAGAGTTTAGTTTTTTTAAGTAAAATTTTAATTTCGAATTTTATAAATGAAAAAAATAAATTTAAAAAAATTTATCTTTTTATGAAATTTTATTTAATTCAACTTCGGATTAATAGGATCTAAAATGATTATCGAATATAAGAGAATTTTAGAAAAAAAAATATATAAAAGAATTATAAATTTTAAGATTTAAATATCAAATCTTTTAAAAATGGTATAAAACAATAAAATTAAGTTTTTCGAATTCCAATGTTTCAAGGTTTCTTTCATGCAGCTTAATAAAGAATTCTCCAAATCAGTGCTAAATACTACAAAAGTTGTAGCCTTGTATGTTTGTAATTTTAGATATGAGAATTTGCTTGATAGAGTGATTATTGAATGATCACAACCAAGAAGCGTCAATTCTCCTTTTTCATTATTCAATATCACGATGTCAATCCTTCTCTATTAAGAAAACTATATATATATATATATATATATATTCAAGGAATAATTAATTTAATTGATATAAATTATCTTTTTAAATTTAAAAATTTTAAATTCGAATTAAATTGATAATTATTTATTGAAATCATTTTAAATATACGATTTTAAATTATTTATTTTAAATTATTAAATAAAATACATCTTATC